GAATCCAGAGCAGGAGCCGTGCGGTCAGCGCGGGGATGAACTTACTCCGGGCGTGGGAACGACGGGAGCTGGGGTCGTGGACATTACTTTCATCGGGGTTTGTCCGGGGTTAGGCGGCCTGGAAAATAGTCCATACCCGGCACACCACGCCCAGTGTACTTTCCGCTATGGCCGTGGCGACAGCGACCGACGATGAGGACGACGACGACGATGATAACGATGATAACGATGATGATGAGGACGACGACGACGATGATAACGATGATGATACCCGCGCGCTCAGTCGGCGCTGCCCCCGTTGGGGGCGGACGCCGCGGAGTCGAGGGTGAGGCTGAGCTTCTGCAGGAAGAGGAGCTGCAGAAGAGCGGCGGCAGTAGAAGAGGAGGAGGAGTCCGCGGGGTCGTCTCCCCGGAGCGTGGAGCCCTCCACCGAGTCGAGGGCCCCCGGGTCCCGTCCGCGCGTCGCCACTCGCGACGCCCCCCCGGTGCCCTCCTCCCACGGACGCCACCGCGGGGCGCCGTCCCTACGACCCGGCACGGGTCGACGTCGCGGTTCAACCCGCAGCGCAGCCGCACAACTACCACTGCACCATAGCCACACCGCACTGCACGATAGCCACACCGCACTGCACCATAGCCACACCGCACTGCACCATAGCCACACCGCACTGCACCATAGCCACACCGCACTGCACCATAGCCACACCGCACTGCACCATAGCCACACCGCACTGCACCATAGCCACACCGCACTGCACCATAGCCACACCGCACTGCACCATAGCCACACCGCACTGCACCATAGCCACACCGCACTGCACCATAGCCACACCGCACTGCACCATAGCCACACCGCACTGCACCATAGCCACACCGCACTGCACCATAGCCACACCGCACTGCACCATAGCCACACCGCACTGCACCATAGCCCCACCGCACTGCACCATAGCCACACCTCACTGCACCATAGCCACACCGCACTGTACCATAGCCACACCGCACTGCACCATAGCCACACCGCACTGCACCACCGCACTGCACCACTGCCACACCGCACTGCACCATAGCCACACCGCACTGCACCATAGCCACACCGCACTGCACCATAGACACACTGCACTGCACCATAGCCACACCGCACTGCACCATAGCCACACCGCACTGCACCATAGCCACACCGCACTGCACCATAGCCACACCGCACTGCACCATAGCCACACCGCACTGCACCATAGCCACACCGCACTGCACCATAGCCACACCGCACTGCACCATAGCCACACCGCACTGCACCATAGCCACACCGCACTGCACCATAGCCACACCGCACTGCACCATAGCCACACCGCACTGTACCATAGCCACACCGCACTGCACCATAGCCACACCGCACTGCACCACCGCACTGCACCATAGCCACACCGCACTGCACCATAGCCACACCGCACTGCACCATAGCCACACCGCACTGTACCATAGCCACCCCGCACTGCACCATAGCCACACCGCACTGCACCACCGCACTGCACCACTGCCACACCGCACTGCACCATAGCCACACCGCACTGCACCATAGCCACACCGCACTGCACCATAGACACACTGCACTGCACCATAGCCACACCGCACTGCACCATAGCCACACCGCACTGCACCATAGCCACACCGCACTGCACCATAGCCACACCGCACTGCACCATAGCCACACCGCACTGCACCATAGCCACACCGCACTGCACCATAGCCACACCGCACTGCACCATAGCCACACCGCACTGCACCATAGCCACACCGCACTGCACCATAGCCACACCGCACTGCACCATAGCCACACCGCACTGCACCATAGCCACACCGCACTGTACCATAGCCACACTGCACTGCACCATAGCCACACCGCACTGCACCACCGCACTGCACCACTGCCACACCGCACTGCACCATAGCCCCACCGCACTGCACCATAGCCACACCGCACTGCACCATAGACACACAGCACTGCACCATAGCCACACCGCACTGCACCATAGCCACACCGCACTGCACCATAGCCACACCGCACTGCACCATAGCCACACCGCACTGCACCATAGCCACACCGCACTGCACCATAACCACACCGCACTGCACCATAGCCACACCGCACTGCACCATAGCCACACCGCACTGCACCATAGCCACACCGCACTGCACCATAGCCACACCGCACTGCACCATAGCCACACCGCACTGCACCATAGCCACACCGCACTGTACCATAGCCACACCGCACTGCACCATGACCACGGCACACTGCACCATAACCACGGCACACTGCACCATAACCACGGCACACTGCACCATAACCACGGCACACTGCACCATAACCACGGCACACTGCACCATAACCACGGCACACTGCACCATAACCACTGCACACTGCACCATAACCACGGCACACTGCACCATAACCACGGCACACTGCACCATAACCACGGCACACTGCACCATGACCACGGCACACTGCACCATAACCACGGCACACTGCACAATAACCACGGCACACTGCACCATGACCACAACTGCACCATAACCACGGCACACTGCACCATAACCACGGCACACTGCACCATAACCACAACTGCACCATAACCACGGCACACTGCACCATAACCACGGCACACTGCACCATAACCACGGCACACTGCACCATAACCACGGCACACTGCACCATAACCACGGCACACTGCACCATAACCACGGCACACTGCACCATGACCACGGCACAATGCACCATAACCACGGCACACTGCACAATAACCACGGCACACTGCACCATGACCACAACTGCACCATAACCACGGCACACTGCACCATAACCACGGCACACTGCACCATGACCACAACTGCACCATAACCACGGCACACTGCACCATAACCACGGCACACTGCACCATAACCACGGCACACTGCACCATAACCACGGCACACTGCACCATAACCACGGCACACTGCACCATAACCACGGCACACTGCACCATAACCACGGCACACTGCACCATAACCACGGCACACTGCACCATAACCACGGCACACTGCACCATAACCACGGCACACTGCACCATAACCACGGCACACTGCACCATGACCATGGCACACTGCACCATAACCACGGCACACTGCACCATAACCAAGGCACACTGCACCATAACCACGGCACACTGCACCATAACCACGGCACACTGCACCATGACCACAACTGCACCATAACCACGGCACACTGCACCATAACCACGGCACACTGCACCATAACCACGGCACACTGCACCATAACCACGGCACACTGCACCATAACCACGGCACACTGCACCATAACCACGGCACACTGCACCATAACCACGGCACACTGCACCATAACCACAGCACACTGCACCATGACTACAACTGCACCATAACCACGGCACACTGCACCATGACCACAACTGCACCATAACCACGGCACACTGCACCATAACCACGGCACACTGCACCATAACCATGGCACACTGCACCATGACCACAACTGCACCATAACCACGGCACACTGCACTATAACCACGGCACACTGCACCATAACCACGGCACACTGCACCATGACCACAAATGCACCATAACCACGGCACACTGCACCATAACCACGGCACACTGCACCATGACCACAACTGCACCATAACCACGGCACACTGCACCATAACCACGGCACACTGCACCATAACTACGGCACACTGCACCATAACCACGGCACACTGCACCATAACCACGGCACACTGCACCATAACCACGGCACACTGCACCATGACCACAACTGCACCATAACCACGGCACACTGCACCATAACCACGGCACACTGCACCATAACCACGGCACACTGCACCATAACCACGGCACACTGCACCATAACCACGGCACACTGCACCATGACCACGGCACACTGCACCATGACCACGGCACACTGCACCATGACCACGGCACACTGCACCATAACCACGGCACACTGCACCATGACCACGGCACACTGCACCATAACCACGGCACACTGCACCATAACCACGGCACACTGCACCATGACCACAACTGCACCATAACCACGGCACACTGCACCATAACCACGGCACACTGCACCATAACCACGGCACACTGCACCATGACCACGGCACACTGCACCATAACCACGGCACACTGCACCATGACCACGGCACACTGCACCATGACCACAACTGCACCATAACCACGGCACACTACACCATAACCACGGCACACTGCACCATGACTACAACTGCACCACACTGCACGACAACCGCACCGCAACCCTACAAGCCGACAATGCCCGTCCCTGCCTCGTGCGGTGAGTGACGAAGTTCCGATGGTGCATTGATCGACTGCGATAGATCCGCGTGCTCGCGATGCGTGGATCGATCCCTCCGTGAGGTGCAGCTCTTTATGGTTCGCATGGATCGGCTCAAGCGGAGGAGCCACGCGCTTTGTTGCGTCATAGGACCGCCAGTGACGGCTTGGCGAGGCCTCATGCAGCAGTGGATGGATAATGGCTGATGGTGCTCATATCCATCAAGGTTCATAGAGCAGAGAAAATTAATGGGCCCAGACGATAAAGAAGCGATGCAAACGTGAGAGTGAACACACTGATCATCGATTCTTCAATCGAAGCGGCATCACAGTGGGTGTGTGGAATCAACGTGGCCAGACGTCTTGGAAAAGGAGCGATAACCCACATTTGACCCCACCACACGGGACTGTGTATATGATTTATACTGCTGGGTGCACAGAAGCGGCTGGGGAAGTGGCCGGGGGGGGGGGCTGCATCCCTCCCGCTTTTAAAGCGACCTCAGAGCCGCCCTCGTCCTCGTTAGCGCTTCCACGGGGAGCAGCAGCGGCAACTCACGAGTTAGCGGTGTCCGTGAGCTGGGGGGGGGGGCTCGGGGCGTCCACGTGCTCCCCCACGTGCTCCCCCACGTGCTCCCCCACGTGCTCCCCCACGTGCTCCCCCACGTGCTCCCCCACGTGCTCCCCCACGTGCTCCCCCACGTGCTCCGTCTCCGTGGCTGCAGCAGCGTCTCGCAAAAAAAGAAGACGGAGGAGAGAAACACGGGGCGGAATTAAATAATAACGTCACGGGCGCGCGGTGTGACACAGCGATTCTCATTAGATCGTGGCAGCCAAAAAATATCGCATTTCTTAACCTATGGACGGCTGCTTCAGAATTGGATAAAACAGAGACCCGTTCTTCAATTCCTCTGAAATGGAGCTGTCAATTAACGACAAGCAATATTTTAAGAAATGTTCCATTCGCACCCCCCGCCCTAGCAAGGCCGACTCGTGGGGGTCACGGGCCGCGAATGGCGCTGCAACCCAACAGGCGCACAGCCGGTCCGTGCCACCCTCGGGGTCACGGCGGGGTCACGCACACACATCCACGTCGGTCCATCTACCTCCCCTACCGCCCACTCAATCCACACCCCCGCCCCCACCGCCCACTCTATCCCCCCCCCCCCAGTTCGAGCCGAGACACTGAGACATCTCTTCTCCGGCAAACGAGCGCGGTTCGTTTTTTTCTGATTGTGGCCGGAGATAGAGGGGCCGTGCGCCCTCCGCCTCGCGTGTCCCCCGAGGAATTCGGCAAACGAGGCCACTTTGTTTCGGCACAATTCCCCTGCAAATTTTGCCGAGCGAGAGAGAGCGAGCGATAGATAGAAAGCGAGAGAGAGCGTGCGAGAGAGAGACAGAGAGAGTAAGCACGCGATGGGAAAAAGGGAGAATCTATCACGGACCTAACGGGACGCGCGAAGCGAGTGTCTCTCCCCCTCTCTCTCCGTCTCCCTCTCTCTCTCTCTCTCTCCCCCTCGCGCTCTTTCCCTCTCCATCTCTCTCTCTGTCCTCTCTCCCATTGCGCCTCCTCTTTCTCCGAGAATTCTGCCGCGTCCTGGCGTCCACGACGCCCTAAACGCACTCGCACGGCGCGGGGGCTGCACGCCAGCGGAGCCGGGCCGGCCCGAGGGGCCCCCCAAGCCACGTGGCCCTGGAACGCCGCGTGACATCAACAGCCGGGGGGGAACGCTCCCGCATTTGCTACAAGCCGCGCGGGAACCTGGGATCCCACTCCGTGCCGTTTGTTGCTGGCCACTTGGCGCTTTGGGGCCTCGGCGACGGTGATAGCGAATAAAATAAAATGGCAAATACCCCCAAAAATGCGAAAACGTTCCCGTGGTGGCAAAGAAGGCGATTGCGCTTTCGGAAATGAGATTTTGGCTCGAACGGTGAGAGGGGTGGGAGGAGGGTAAATGAAGGGGGGTGCCGTGACAGTCGTCCGCCCCCGCTGTGTGGGAATGCAATGGGAGGGGAGCGGGAGGGGTGTGCAGGTATTTTCTATTTGGAGGAAGTCACGGGGGAGTCCATGTCAAGAAGCTAAGGGATGCCCGTGGAGGATTCGCGTGGGGGGCGGGGGGAGCGGCACAACTCATGAATTCGTCTCCACGGTCGCAGGAGATGAGACTCGAGCCCCAGAGACCCCCGCGGCCTCTCGTTCGGGCAGCTCCAGCTCCGAGTCTCCGCCGCAGCCACACGCGGCGGCCACAGCAGAGCAGGGCCGCATCTTGGATCGGGGTGGCACGGTTTTTCAGATTTGGGATCAGGGTGGCACGGTTTTTCAGATTTGGGATCAGGGTGGCACGGGTGGGTACAGTCGACTCGCACGCGCCAGGTTTGTTCGTCTCTCTTTGCAGTAGACGCACTGGGGGGGGGGGGGGGGGTGTGGGGGCTTTAACGCTGCATCTTCCTCACACGCGCGTGAATTCAGGCGGATTCGTGGTCGCTCACCCCTCGTGCTCCCGCGCAGCGCTCCTCGCAGGCAGTCGAGCAGAGCGCCGACACCGCCCTCCTGCAGGAGCGGGGAGAGGCGCGCCGCCGGGGGGGAGGGGGGGGTGGCATGAATATTTAATCCCCACATCGGTGCCTCGCTGCTCGGCGTCCTAAGCGGCGCGGGAACAGCAGCGGCCACGCGCACATTTAACCAACGTCTCCCACGTCTCCAGCGTCTCCCGCCTCTCCCGTGCCATGGCAGCCGCGGCGCGGGAGACGCGGGGCGCTGGAGGTGCAGGAGACGCGAAACGAGCAGCGATCTCTCCCGCTCTCTCTCTCTCCCGCTCTCTCTCTCTCCCGCTCTCTCTCTCTCCCGCTCTCTCTCTCTCTCCCGCTCGCTCTCTCCCGCTCTCTCTCTCTCCCGCTCTCTCTCTCTCTCCCGCTCTCTCTCTCTCCCGCTCTCTCTCTCTCCCGCTCGCTCTCTCTCCCGCTCTCTCTCTCTCCCGCTCGCTCTCTCTCTCCCGCTCTCTCTCTCTCCCGCTCGCTCTCTCTCTCCCGCTCTCTCTCTCTCTCCCGCTCTCTCTCTCTCTCTCCCGCTCGCTCTCTCTCTCCCGCTCTCTCTCCCGCTCTCTCTCTCTCCCGCTCGCTCTCTCTCTCCCGCTCGCTCTCTCTCTCCCGCTCGCTCTCTCTCTCCCGCTCGCTCTCTCTCTCCCGCTCGCTCTCTCTCTCCCGCTCGCTCTCTCTCTCCCGCTCGCTCTCTCTCTCCCGCTCGCTCTCTCTCTCCCGCTCGCTCTCTCTCTCGCTCGCGCTTAAAGCTGTCAATTAAACGTACATCTGGCGCATAAATTAATCAGGCGGCTTTCTCCGTCGGCACGTGCCGGGTATTTCCCAAAAGGGCAAAGTCAGCACGTGGCGCTCGTCGTCTCCCGCGAACCGGCTCCGCTACCGACAGCCGCGATGCTAAATGTTCGCCGACAGATGGACGGGCGGCAAGCAGTGATAGGCGCTCGCAGACAATGGAGGTGACCGCACGGTTATCGAGAAGAAGCTCACCAACCCCTCGCTCGATCGCTCGCTCTCCCCCTTCTCTCTCTCTGTCCGGAGCTCACGGCGCGTCGGTGCGCGGCATCGTGAGTAATGAGAGATCAGAATCAGAATCTTTATGCATTTATGAATTCGAGCAGCAGCAGCTGCTCGAGTCGACCGCTGCCGACTCTCCGGACAGAGATCGCCCGGGCAGCAGCTGTCTGAGTGAGCAAAAGCTCAGAGCAGGTGTCATTCGTCTGAGCTTCGTCACCTGAGTCAGGCTTGTTAAGCAAATGCCAGACGTCATTTGGCACGAGCGCTCCATCGAAACCAAAGGGGGCCCCGTTCAACACGAAATGTGATTTAGTGCGTGAGCTCGTGATGCCTTGTCGTGGAGCATCACGGGTAATGTAGCGGGTCAGAGCAGGCACCGCTGAGCGGCTGGGTCCCTGTGTGGCTGTGTCCACGTGTCTGTGTGTCCACGTGTCTGTGTGTCCACGTGTACCTACGCGTCTGCGTGACTATGTTTCCACGCGTCGTCTGCGTGTCTGTGTGTCTGTGTCTGTGCCAGAAGCTAAGCAGGAAGCCACGCTTTCAGCCTCTCAACCCCCCCCCCCCCGAGGGTGACGGCCTCGTGAGACGCGGGGCCCGCGATGTCTCTCGCCGGCGTCTCGCCGTGACGCACGGGACAATAACGGAGAGGCGCGCCGCGTCGCTCCGGCACCCGGGGCTCCTCTCTACTCCTCCTCCTTTTGTATCCGCCGATCCCCAGCACCTCCTCGTTAACGAGAATGTCCCGAGAGCCGCCCCGCGTCCCATTGCATTCGACCTCCTCCCTAACTGCGCTATCCAAGGGGGGTGTCTCCTCACATCCTCGAGGCGCCACCGGCCCCTGAGCCCCCAGTGCGGACCCAGCGTGGCCGACCTCGGGGCCGACCGCGGGGCCGACCGCGGGGCCGCCCGCGGGGCCGACCGCGCCGCCACGCTCGTCCACAGTCCGTGCCGCCACCGGAGAGCACGGGGGGAGCACGGGGGGGGGGCACGGGGGGGAGCACGGGGGGGAGCACGGGGGGGGCACGGGGGGGAGCACGGGGGGAGCACGTGGGGAGCACGGGGGGGAGCACGGGGGGGGGGGCACGGGGGAGGGCACGGGGGGGTTCACGGGCCGCTCTCGGTCGCCGCCGTTTTTCTTCTTCAGCGGCGAGGGTTGCGTCCCACCCCGGCGTGCCGCACGTGCCATCGACGCCGGCCGGTCGCAGGAGTCGCGAGCCGGGAGCTGGGGCTCCACGTGGCCCAAGGTCGCGATTGTGACCGCGCGACATCCGCGGATTAATCGGCTGCCGCCAAGCGTCGATTGAGGAATGACAACAAATCACTCGCGAACCGCGTCCCGTCGCAACGCGCCCCGTCGCATTGGGTCCCAGAAGCTAAGCAGGCCTGGGTCGCGCTTGGATGGGCGACCGCCGTGCCCAGCCCAGCTGTTGTGTCCCCGATTTCGTGGCGCGGGGGAGCCCGAGGGAGGCTCCGCCCCGATTGTCGATGACGATTTTCCGATTCTTACGACGACGATGACAGCAGTGGTGGTGGCGGTGATGGCGGGGGCGGTGGTAGCGATGGTGGTGGTGTGATGGTGGTGGTGGTGTGATGGTGGTGTGATGGTGGTGTGACGATGGTGGTGTGATGCGCACCCCCTTTGCCAATCCCTTGCAGAGCGAACGATGCCCCCCACACCGCGTCAATCAGGGGAGGTTCTTTGACCAAATTTGAATAATATTTGTGTATCAATAATATAATGTTAATAATATAATATTAATAATATTTCTGTATCCATAATGATTAGCACATCGTGATGAACATGACAATAACGATGATGACGATTATCACTGATGTTGGTGATTATGATGTACGCATGATGATCATAATGATGGTCATAATGATGATTGATGCTCACTATGCTGTCAGAGATGATGGTGATGATTGTGGGCATGATTTTTATGATATTTACTTTAGCGTGGCAATGACGGTTAAGAGACTTGCAGTGATTCACTGTTAACGATGTGATGATGAGGATGGCATCTGCATTGTGATGATGATGACAGCGCTAACGAGGGCACCCCTGGTGGTACTCTTGCTGCAGATTGTTTTTGACCACGCCAGTGAACACCTCGTCATCAATAGCGCGGCTCGTGATGAAACAAAGGGTGGGGTGGGAGGTGGGGGGCTGGGATGAGTGGTGCCGTGCGGGCTCACGAGGCTGGAGGAGGAGGTGGAGGAGGAGGTGGAGGAGGTGGAGGAGGTGGAGGAGTACTCCTGGTGCTCGGGGAGTGCCCGGCGCTCGCTTCGCCCACCCTCGCTGCCCACGCGCACGGGGGACGCGCCGAGCCTGCGAGACGGGCGCGGCGGAGGCGGGGAGAGGCACCCGCCGGGAGGAGGAGGAGGAGGGGGGGGAGGAGGGGGGGGGGTGGAGGAGGGGGGGGGAGGAGGGGGGGGATTGATTCACGGCTCGAGGAAGAGGAGACACAATCTCAGGTCCCGGTGGTGGCGCCCATCGCCGCTCCCACCAAGTGTCCACTCGTCGTCGTGTCGAGCCCCGCTCACTATTTATGGATTACCCAACCCCCCCTCCCGAGCCCCCCTTTATTTTAAAAGGCGATGCTGCTGCTGGTGCTGCTGCTGGTGCTGCTGCTGGTGCTGCGGCGGCGGCGGCACGGGGGGCAGCGATCTGGGCTTGCAGCTCAGAGGGCGCCCGGCGCGAGTCCATCTCCCGGCGCGAGTCCATCTCCCGGCGCGGCAGTGGCAACAACGGCGGCAGGAGCCTTGAATCCCAGCGCCGCCCTCCCCTCCCCCCGCACCGCCACCCCCGCGGGCTACGGCGGCGATCCCACGGAGCGTGGCTCTCTCGAGCTCCCCCTCGTGGTGACCCCTTCCGCATGAAGGGAGCCCGAGCGAGCACTTGCAGGGCTGCGCTCGGCACACTGCCGCAGCTCGCACCGGGGCCCCGGCCATGCCCACCGGGGTAGCTCACGGAGAGCGTGGGGTGGGGGCAGCTGACGCGAGCTGTGGTGCCGAGTGGCACCGAGGCGCTCCGCAGGTGTCCCGGGGCGGCTCTCCACGCCGTGGAGCCCTCCTCTAGCGATGGCCTCAGGGGCTTCATCATCAGGGGGGCGACCCGTATACAACAATATCATTCCGCGCACCACATTCAGTATACCCCTCTCTCCCTGTGGCTCCTACTTAGTCACGTGCCGCTGCAGGCTACCAGCAGAAGTAGCGACAATGCGCTCCAGTCGTCCACTCCAGCAGCACCGGGGCCCGAGTTCTCAAACTCGGGCCAATTGTGCCGCAAGTAGGGCCCAGTAGGTGGCACGTGACTGCAAGTAGCCACGGTCACGGCCGTAGCGAGATGCATTCTGGATGTGGGCTGCCGCTGTGGACATTTATTTATTCCCATTGTTGCGATGATGATGATTTCAGTTTGCAAACTGCAGGCAAGAAGCCCATTGCAGCTGCGGCTTCGTGATTCTGGCGACGCAGCAGCAGCAGCAGCGAGGAGGAGGCTAATGGAGCCGCACTTCGCGCGCCGAAAGCGGTTGAGCCGCGACCGCCGTGGGGATGGAATTTGCGTGAGCTTCCGATGCTTGGCGCGGTGCAACCCGCATCCTTTTCCACAAACATTAAAGGACAGCCGGGCGTGTGTGCAGAACGCACCCTGGGGAAGGGGGAGAAGAAGGGATCCGGGGGGGGGCGTGCGAGTGGGTGGTGGGCAGGGGGATTGGGGGGGGGGGGTTGAGCGGTGGGGGGCGAGAGAGGCGATTTGTCTCACTTGGTTCGGAGCGCGCGATCGCCCTCCCCGCTCTCGCCACTCGCCCACGTCCCGCCACCACCACCACCCTCCTCCTCCTCGGCCTCGCCTCCCCCCGCGCCAGGCCCCCCTCCCGTCCCTGGGTGGCCGCGGCTGCATCTGAAAATGTCACCGATAAACGCGGGGTCGGGCCCCGTGCGGTGCGGCGCGAGACCTTTCCTCCCCCCCTCCTCCCCCTCCTCCCCTCCTCCTCGGCCCAGCGCGGCGCGCGCCCTGGGCAGGAGGCAACCCACGCACAGCGGCAGCGGCGGTGCGTGGGTTGCCGCGAGTCACTCGGCCGCGTATCCTCTCGCTGGGCCGATTGGGGTGACGGCGTGCTGGTGAACACGGTGGTGGACAGGATAATGAGCGTGGTGGTGAGCCTGGTGGTGAGCCTGGTGGTGAGCAGGATAATGAGCATGGTAGTGAGCGTGGTGGTGAGCGTGGTGTTGAGCAGGATAATGAGCAGGATAATGAGCGTGGTGGTGAGCGTGGTGGTGAGCCTGCTGGTGAGCCTGCTGGTGAGCCTGCTGGTGAGCAGGATAATGAGCGTGGTGGTGAGCGTGGTGGTGAGCGTGGTGGTGAGCAGGATAATGAGCGTGGTGGTGAGCGTGGTGGTGAGCGTGGTGGTGAGCAGGATAATGAGCGTGGTGGTGAGCATGGTGGTGAGCGTGGTGGTGAGCAGGATAATGAGCGTGGTGGTGAGCGTGGTGGTGAGCATGGTGTTGAGCAGGATAATGAGCGTGGTGGTGAGCGTGGTGGTGAGCGTGGTGGTGAGCGTGGTGTTGAGCAGGATAATGAGCGTGGTGGTGAGCGTGGTGGTGAGCAGGATAATGAGCGTGGTGGTGAGCGTGGTGGTGAGCGTGGTGTTGAGCAGGATAATGAGCGTGGTGGTGAGCGCGCCCCCCGCTAATGTACGCGAGGCATGTGGGGGTCGCGCCTCGCTAATTACCGCCGGTGCGGTGGAGAAACGAGCGCGAGATTTTTCTGCTGCGGATTCATTGAGTGCCCCCCCACCTCCCCCCTTTTGTTGATCCGTTGCTGAATGAATCCGGGGGTAGGGGGGTGGAGGTCTCCCCGCGCCCTGCCCGTTGGTCACGGGGAGTTCTCTGAACTCGCTTCACCGCGCTGGTCAATGTGGGGTTCGTGAAGACGGGACGCGTTTGGGGGCGGGTCTAGATGCAGACTCGCCGCCGATGTGAGCCGTGACCGGGAATCGAACTCGGGTCGCCCTGGTTCGCAGCGCGGCGCGAGCCATCGATTCGCAGGGTGCTGTTGGCGGCTCACGCCGCGCTCCAACCCCTGGAGAGGCGTGAGCCCGGGTGACCTGGGGACGCGTCCGTGCGTACTCAGCCGTCGCGATGTGAACCCGGCCCGGGTTACATTCCCACCCGCTCGCCCATTCACCACCAGCCATCATGATCAATCCACTGCTGGATGAAGGCCTTCTCCGAGCAGTCGCCACCACCTCTCGTGCTCCTGCTATCGGTAACGATCCGCACAGCACCCCGCACACGAGCCGATCTCATCGCTCCATCTCCTCGGTGGCCGTCACGGCACACACACGCGCCCGTGGCATTACCCCCGCGACAGTGAAGGCTGTCGTCTCCCCGTGAACTCGGGGAAATGGATTCGGCGAATTGATGCGATCGGAGACAGCGGCGCTAAGTAGCCCGCGCCGAGGAATTGAGTGTCTTGCGACAAATTAAAAATTCATATCCAATTCCCAAACCGAATAGCCACCTTGCTCTATAAATAAACATCAACAATCATTTACAGCCCTCTGTCTGCCGAGCCAATGCCGAGGGAAGGCCTCCTCCCCACGCCGCGCAGACCACGGAGGTCGTTTGGCCATACTTCGCCACGCTGGTTCAGTGCGGGTTGGTGAAGTGGGGGAGGGGGCTTAGTCGTGGCCGGGAATCGAACTCAGGTTACTGGGCTCGCAGCGGCGGTGCCCGAACCGCTGCGCCGTCAATCCTCCCACTTGGTATAAATACGCGTTCACGATGACACTGCCAGGCTGCACGAGATCTGCATGAATGCAACAGTGCGCACGTGTGCGTGCCGATGTTTGCGGTGTGGGTCATTTATTTGAAGCCTGTGACCAGGTCATCCAATCTCAGCAGGTAGTGAGCCTGGCCTTGCAGTGGTGGGACGGGCGGCCGTCACGTGCAAAGCATGCGTCACAGGCTCCTACTGGTGCTACTGCTGCTACTCCTACGACTGCTGCTGCTGTTGATGCTACTACTGCTGGTCCCGTGATGCGTCCCGGATCTCAGAGGCGGCAACCGCCCCGGGTAACGGGTCGAGAGAGGCGTGCGAAACCCCCCCCCCACCGCTCACCCGCGCTCGGCACCCTCGCTGGCAGTCAGCGCGCTCAGCTTGTCCCGGAGTCCCTGGAGAGGCAACAGGGCGACTCGGTGAGCGTTCCACGCGGCCACTCGCCCCGGGGGCTCCGTTTCGGTCGCCGGGTCAGCGACCCGGGAAATGTTCCCGCACCCGGCGCACCGCGCCCAGGACACCTCCTCTCGCCGTGGCGAGCAGTAACGCAACGTCTACTCCGCTCCATTGCAAGGTGACCCAGGCAATCATTTAGCAGAGACCTGCACGCTTTTCCTCGCTTACGGAAGAGAACAATGAAACCCAACAACAACAACCTGGCAATGAAGATTCCCATTTCTCACCGAAGCGGGCAACAACAACAACAACAACGTCGTCTCTATCGTAACAATCGAGGCCGCTCTCCCGCGAGTTTGCGCGACTCGGCACCTGCATGGCGCTCTCGACGATCGTCTCCCGGAGCAGATCGCCGGCTGACGGCCTCCCCTCGGGCTCCTTGCTCAGCATCCTGCGGGCCGAGCGCACGCCAAGGTCACGGCACAGACGCCTCCTCCTCCCGGGACGGCCATCGCCGAACCCGCGAAACCGAAGCCACCAGGCGGTGTCGCGTCCAGGGTCTCGGTGTGCGAGGGCTCCGACATCGGGGATGATCGCGCGCGCGCGGGCTCACCAACCCACCCACCCACTCACTCACTCCACCACCTCCCGGGCGCGCCATCGTCGTCTTTGCGAGAGATTCGTCAGCGGCGTTAGGGGAGCCGGCGGGGAGCCGTCACGACAAATCACGCTGGCGTCTTAGCTGAAGGCGATTAGGCTCCAAGTGGCTGGGCAGTAACTCCGTGATCGATGATCCCTGGGTTTCTCCAGGGGTTGAGTTGCCCACAAGCAGCGCAACTTCACGATAAAGTTTCACTCGCATCGGATGAACTCCGCGGGAGTTTTCCTGACCGCCACCCCCCCTCGTTACAGACAGAGCTAACTCTGGTTGGTCAGCGGAGCGAATAGAATCGCCATTGAGTCCGAACCGGGCGAGGTGAGGGCCCGAGATAGACGGGGGAAGGTCGCGCGGTGAGGCCGTGCGGGGCCAGAGGCGGCGACCTCTGCACGATGGCGTTGAGGGCGGCTGGGCGCGAGGCCGGGAGGGCCGGCGTGGGGCCCTGGGTGATCCGCAAGGCCAAGGCTACGCAGCTGCGCGCCGTGAAGGCGGCCTCCAGCACGCACAGCTCGTACAGCACGCAGCCCAGAGACCTGCGCATCGTCACACACACACACATCGTCACACACACACACACATCGTCACACACACACACATCGTCACACACACACACATCGTCACACACACACATCGTCACACACACACACATCGTCACACACACGCATCGTCATACACACATCGTCACGCGCACACACATATATCATAACAAATATAAAGATCCCTCATATAGCCTTAACATAATGTTGGGGCAAGTGCTGTTCGCAAACACCTATGAAGGCCGGTACGGCACACAAGGGGGTGGGTGGCCAACACCTCGCCCGGCCACCTTTGTCTCCCCAGTGGGCGATGTTTACACATTGCACCAGGTACTCATTTGAGGCTGAGTCGACCTAGGGGAGGCCCAGGACCGGTTCAGATAATCGTCACTGGTGTTGGCCGTGAGCGGGAATCGAACTCGGGTCGTCAGGTGCGTAGCGCTAACCGCGACACCACCGCTCCCCACGCGCGCACACGCAGACAGGCACACACATCGCCATGGCATTAGCACACACAAACACTCGTATCAATTGCCAGACATCACAGTCGATCGCGCTGGATCTGTCTGTGGGGTAAACACCGTCCGCGCACAGCGGCGGCCGCGATTCCCGCGGCCGCCGCGGCGTGAGCGGCATGCGGGCAGCCCCATTAGACGCCTCGCTCCGTGCCCCCGGGACAGGCGCTGGTCACGTGAGCGGGGAGGGTGAAGCAGGGCTGTGGGGGAGGTCGGGCGCTCCACTTGTCTCGCGTGGCCGGGGAAGAGCGACGTGTGGAGAGATTCTGCTGTCGGTGATTCAACCGTTCGTTGGTTTTGTCTGAGAGTGGAACTGCAGGTGCATCCACATACCCACTCACCAACCCACCCACTAACTCACCAACTCACTCCACCACCCACTCACCAACCCACCCACTCACTCACCCGCTCACTCCACCACCGACTCACCAACCCACCCACTCATTCACCCGCTCACTCCACCACCGACTCACCAACCCACCCACTAACTCACCAACTCACTCCATCACCCACTCACCAACCCACCCACTCACCCACTCACCCTCTCACTCCACCACCCACTCACCAACCCACCCACTCACTCACCCGCTCACTCCACCACCCACTCACCAACCCACCCATTCACTCACCCCCCGCCTCGTGGGCTCCACCAGCCATGCGGGATGTACGCGCTACCGCGCCCATTACTGCCACGCGCGTCACTCCCCTGCCCTGTCAACGAGTAACCCCGCACGCCGTTACCAGCACTGACACTCGCTCCCACAGATGTCTCTCCCCGCGACCCCCAGACACGGACACAGAGAGCGAGCGAGAGGGGAGATTCCTGAAATCCGGCGACTCCACTCCGCACTCCACTCGTGGCCTTCTCCCTCCCGCTCTGTCTCCCCGCCGGTTTCATTAAAAGAGGCGCGCACATTCGAGCGGTAACAAATCCCTAAATCAACCACGACGATCCCACACCGAGACCTCCAATCCCCCCGACAAATAAAACAAGCGAGGAGGATGAGGAGGAGGCAGAGGAGGGGGGGGGAGAGAGCTACACGCAAAGAGGTAACTACGAAGAACCCCGAGTTGACTCTGCAGATGCACGGCGAGCACCGTGACAGCCCTCGCGGCGCTGCTGCTTGCTGCTGCGAGTGAGCAGCCTGCAGCACAACCTCCTCGCACAATCGTCATGCACAATTACGCACAATCATCTCGCACAAACATCACGCACAATCAATACGCATAATCATGCACAATCATCACGCACAATCATCTCACACAATCATCATCGTACAATCATCATGCACAATCACGCACAATCATCACACATAATCATGCAAATCACGCACAATTACGCACGATCATCACGCACAATCATCATCCACAATCACGCACAATCATCACGCTCAATTACGTACAATCATCACGCACAATCATCATCCACAATTACGCACAATCATCACGCACAATCACGCACAATCTCTTTGCACAATCACGCAAGCAAAAGCAAGGTCCAGCCTGGAGAGTGCTTGGATGGGTGAACACGAATGATGAGATTGATGATGATGATGTGCAGTTGATATTTAGGCCATTCTTGTTGCACAGTGACACACAACAATCTCTCAACACGTTCGTCAATAACACCGCGCGCGAGTCATCTTGAAAGGAAATTTGATAGGTGACATTTCGGGCAATGGCCCTTCTTCATGGGGCCAACGACACGCACGGCGTGCGTATGGAAGGCCCTCATCCAGCAGCAGATTGACGAAGGGCTCTCAGTGGCTATGATGGCATTCGTGCCGAGTAAAGCTTGGGGGGATCCACGGGAGAGTTTATCTAGCAGTGGACTGACACAATTGACAGCACGTGGGTTCCCGTGTTAATCATGTTGTTGTTTATGGCCCATGGTCGAGAATGATAACGGAGTGGCAGACCAGGGGTGGAACGCATTCCACGCGAGATGACGACCGCCCGAGGAGATGGAGCGATGGAACCAGCTGGCGTGCAGATCGGCTGCTGCCGGGTGGATCGTCACACTGCACGGTCGTGAGGTGGTGGTGGCGGCTTGCGGAAGAGGAGGAGGCCTTAATCCAGCAGTGGATTGACCACGGCAGATGAGGACGAGAATTGCTGTTGACATTGACGCCGGATGGGCTGGGTGTGCGGTTGGTGGGGAGTGGGGGGTTCGTTGTGTTGGTATTCGGGGTGGGGGGGAAGGAGAGGGGGGGGTCCATGGGGGGGTATAGAGCGGGGGGTGGGGCGGCTTAAGTCTCAGACTTGACCGCCTCGCAAAGCGCACGTCTCATGCTGAAGGCGCAGACAAAGACGCCCGCGTGGACCACGTGGGGTGTCTTTGTCTGCGTGTGCAGAGAGCGTGGGCCGCGCGAGCGCTCTGTGTACGACTCACGCGCCAGAGACGCGCCCCGCGATAATTAACCGGGTGGTTGAACGACTAATTGACTGACTCGTTGACCGAGTGGCTGAATGGTTACCTGGCTGTCCTGCTCATCTCGTCACTCGTTGAGTCGTTGGGTGCGTACTGATCGCGCGACTCGTTTTAGAAGTTAACTCACTGACCGATTCGCTGACTTATGCTCTCGTTCACTTAATGAAGAGATTGATCGACTAATTGACTGACTTACCGATAGACTCATTGATTGACTGATTTAATCATTTTAATGACTTAACAAATGACTCTTCGACATATTCACTCATTGATTAACTCTCTCTTTCTCTCTCATGGGTTGTAGTAGGGGTGTGGGTTGTGGATTGGGGTGTGGGTTGTGGATTGGGGTGTGGGCTGTGGATTGGGGTGTGGGTTGTGGATTGGGGTGTGGATTGGGGTGTGGGTTGTGGGTTGGGGTGTGGGTTGTGGATTGGGATGTGGATTGGGGTGTGGATTGGGGTATGGGGTGTGGGTTGTGGATTGGGGTGTGGATTGGGGTGTGGGTTGTGGGTTGTGGGTTGGGTTGTGGTGTGGGTTGTGGATTGGGGTGTGGGGTGTGGATTGGGGTGTGTATTGGGTTGCGGATTGGGTTGCGGATTGGGGTGCGGATTGGGGTGCGGATTGGGTGCGGATTGGGGTGCGGATTGGGGTGCGGATTGGGGTGCGGATTGGGGTGCGGATTGGGGTGCGGATTGGGGTGTGGATTGTGGATTGGGGTGTGGGTTGTGGATTGGGGTGTGGATTGTGGATTGCGGTGTGGATTGGGGTGTGGGTTGTAGATTGGGGTGTGGATTGGGGTGTGGGTGAGTCGGTGTTGGCACCAAACTCGAGTCACTGCCAAACTCTCGCGTCCCCAGCTCCTGGGCGCGGGGACCGGGACCCTCCGGCCATCACCGCCCCTCTTCAGCAACCTCCTCGCGTGCGTCGTCCCTCCAGCCTCCTCCTCTTTCGCAAATTGGACGCCAACGTCAATGTTTGATGAGCAATTAAGGGCTCTGATTTAGCGCTGCGCGTCGAACCGACTGCGCACCCCCGTGACCTCCATCTAGCGGTCTAATAATAAGATTAATATTCATCGTCGTCGTGTTTTAAATGTCTAATTGTATATTTCCTTACAGTTTGTTTTGAGTGTCAATCGCCTCCGTGCGAGGCCGATTTGTCGAGGGGGGGGGGAGCGAACACCCGCGCAGGAAAGAGACGCGGGGATCGTGCTGTCCGCATTGAGACGCACCGGAAAGTAAGACGCACCCCAAACGTCGACTGTTCCACGTGTCAAAAACTCACGACAGATATGGTCTCGCACGCACCCACCTATCGGATGGTAAGACGCCAGCTCACAACTTTTGCTTATGATCCAGAGACTAAAAAAATACGCGACAGGTCGACGTACAGACAGATGCACGGACGGACGGGTGGACAGACACGCGTACCCACAGCCGTACGGACAGAGAGGCGGATGAATGGGCAGACGATGTACAGGACAGACGGACGGCTATACGGAGATGGGCAGCCAGGTGATGTGACAACGTGACGGACGGACCCTACCAGACGTCGGACTTTGAGTTGTAGCCCCTGCACTGCAGAGCCTCGGGGCTCATGCAGTGCAGGGTCCCCGTGAAGGTGAGGGCCAGGTCAGCGGGCCCCGCCAGCACGCGGGACACGCCGAAATCCCCTGCGGAGTCCAGTCACACACACACACACACAGACACACACACACAGTCACACACACAGTCACACACACAAACAATCACGTGGGTAGGGGGATCACACACACACAGTCACGTGGGTGGGGGGATCACACACAGCCACGTGGGGGGGGGGGGGGGGATCTCACACACACAGTCACGTGGGTGGGGGGGATCACACACACACAGCCACGTGGGGACCCAGTCACACATCCACGCGAGTGGCTAATTTCCTACAGACAAATGGCCGGACAAGCAGATGTGACAGACTGACGTCCAGATGCATAGATGTCATGACGCAGACGGGCAGATGGATGGACATTGATTGAAAGGGCGTTCATGTATCCGGAAAATCCTCTCATGGCTCGTTTCCAGGAGGGCCTTGCTCCATCGGGATGTTTGGCCAATTCCATTAGCGAGAGGGAGTGAGACTCCACGTGGGAGGAAGCCCACGACGCGATGATTCACGTGGACTGCTTCACACAACCCACTCGCTGTGCTGCCACCCCCCGGCCACATCGCAGCCCAGCGGGGTTCGGGGGATTCCACATATCTCTCCGTGATCCACCAACCCTGGCCTCTACACCGCTGGATCACAGCAGTGCGGAAGGTTGCCACCTGCTCTGGATTTCCCAGGAGCGTCCTGTGAAAATCTTCAAGTCTTCCCAGGACATTCAAGGCCCCGGTTTTTGGCAGTTGCATTCCCCGCACCTCAGATTAGTACGGTTGTCTACTACGGTACGAAGAAGTTCAACACACATACAATAACAGCAATTATATTCCACTCAATACGATGCAACTCCGTGTAGCGCTTCCCGACCCCGCTATGGTGAGACACTCTTCCCCCCGAGATACGTGCACACCACAACCACCACCACCGCCGCCGCCACGCTCAACTCACCCAACCGAGCCGCCGGTCTCAGCCCCATCTGCACACATCAGCTCGTTCATTTTATCTGCGTTCAAATTGAATTTGTCTCCATCGGCTTTCGAATCGTGCTCATTACGGGTTATTTATGGGCGCGTTTATGGGATCGAGACGCGCGGCGTTCGCTGCGTTCCGGGCGAGGTAGCGGGCGCCGGGTTCGTGAGCAGCAGCTGCTCGCTTCCCCATCGAATGCCGCGCCGCGGGTTTAACGAGATGGGGGGGAGCTTGGTGATGTCGCCGGTAGTTCCAAGGCACGGGGGGACTGATGGTGGGGGACAGCCGACAGCGACCAGGTTACGCGGCCGCCTCCACCACGCTCCCCAGGCTCATCCACGTCACGCAACCGTGAGACGCGAGGTCTGAGTCACTTCTCTACCGCCCCCCCACTCCACCACCCCCTTCCTAACCCCCTCACCCACAACCCTCCCCAGACGCATTTACATTCGGAATCGTGCAGCCAGCAGTTGATCGCCGTGACGTCATCTTGCCCCTGCAAGATGACGTCATAGAACGACGTCTCAGGTTAACATCCACAGGCCCCGTACAGCCACCCGACCACTTCACATGAACTGAACGTTCGCTGCGTGCGCAGCACTACGCTTAGCACACGAAACACGTTAATCTAGTGTTGCGTAGTACATTGTAACGTACATTAATCCACGTGAATACATGCCACTGTGAACATTTTACACTCTTTTGTCAATCCACTGTTGGATGAAGGGCTCCCTCCACGCCTCATCGGGCACGGCAGATGTTTGGCTTCGCCGCGCCGGTCAATGCAGGTCGATGTAAGGGCGTCCCCGAGACCGACTCGGACATACCGTCGGGCACTTAATGTCACCCGTGGCCGTGACTCCAACTGGGATGGGGCCCTGCTGTTGGCAGAGCAGCGCGCGGAGCGATGCACGCGTCCGTGCGGTTGTGCGGTCCCGAGTCAAGAGCCGCATGGCTCACAGGGTTATACCGAATAAATTAAATGAAACTAAAAACTGTCTGCGCGTGCGGAACTCTGCCGAGGTCCACTTTAAACGCCGCACGGCGACGGACGACGCTCGCCGATTCGCTGACGCGCGGGATGTCCCACAATGCAGCCACCCACCGATCTTCACCATGCCGTTCTTCAGGAAGATGTTTCTCGTCTTCAGGTCCCTGTGGAGAATGTGCCTGCGAGAGAGACACAGAGAGACAGAGACACAGAGAGACAGAGACACAGAGAGACAGAGAGACAGAGACACAGAGAGACAGAGACACAGAGAGACAGAGACACAGAGAGACAGAGACACAGAGAGACAGAGACACAGAGAGACAGAGACACAGAGAGACAGAGACACAGAGAGACAGAGACACAGAGAGACAGAGACACAGAGAGACAGAGACACAGAGAGACAGAGACACGCACGGAGGGAGACTTGGGATAGGAAGAGATGGAGAGACAAGAGATGGGGAGAGACGTGGGGTGGAGCGAGATGTTTTCGGGTTGCACCGCGCGTTCGATCGGCTTTGATGTCCTACGTTTCGCACCACCCGCTGGGAGCGGTTCTTCAGCGAGTGAACGAGCATCGTGCACGTGCAGGCGAAACGTCGGGCATCGTACCGAACAACGTGCGACACGGCGAGAAACCACAGGCCTGCACGCGACACTCTCTGTGGGCCGAGCAGCAGCAGCAGCTGCAGGAAGGAGCTGCATCGCCAGCGACCGTGTTTCCCCCCCCCCTCCCCCAGTGTCCCCCCTGCCTCTCCGTGCACCGCCACCGTCGCTTTGCAAGAATGAATTCACGTCACTCAGTGGAGCTCTCGTCGCTTGTGGAGGGAGAGAGAGGTGGGGGGAGAATCGTCGTTCACCTCGCCATTGACCTCACCACCCTCACAGCCTCGGGCAGCGATATCCTCCAGCTCGCCCGAACCGCGCCCGCACTCGGCACATCTCGGAAGCTAAGCGGCGTTGGGCCTGGATGGCGCGAGGATGGGCGACCATCCTCCACGCGTTCCCCCCAACGATCGCGACTCACGGCGGCGTTCTCCGCCTTGCCGGCCGCTGCTCGGCTCCACCTCGGCTTGCCCCCCACCCTTGCCAGCGTGGCACGCGGGGCTGGTGGGCCCCCCCCCCCCCACCTGTCGTGGAGGTGCTGCAGGCCCAGCAGCAGCTGCACGAACCACTCCACGACACGTGACAGCGCGAACTGGGAGCCCTCCTGCCGCCGCCTCTCCACGGCCATGTGCAGGTCTCCTCCCTGCGGCGTGGGCGGGAGGCACGAGGTGCACAGGGGGGCGGTGGACAGAGGGGAGGGGGGCGGTGGACAGAGGGGGGGGGGGCGGTGGACAGAGGGGGGGGGGGGCGGTGGACAGAGGGGGGGACGGTGGACAGGGGGGGGGGCGGTGGACAGGGGGGGGCGGTGGACAGGGGGGGGGGGGGCGGTGGACAGGGGGAGGGAGGACACGAAGTGTTGTTAACCATGACACCTGATCCATAAGATGAAGCTACCAAGTGTCCAGCTTTATCGCGGGTAGTCATGCTGGTTTGTAATTGGCTGTTCCGGTGGCTGCCCCTGCTTCGTTGTTGTAATCTGCATTTTTTTTCTGTAAGATTTGCTGGTTCATCCAGGATGTTTCTATCGCGCGTTGTCGCTTTAAGATGTTCTCTGTTCATTTTTTGTTTGTTGCGGTTGCACCCGACTCAAGAGCCGCATGGCTCACAGGGCTATAACTCATCAATGAAACTTCAAGCGCCACTCACAATACCGCCGAGGGAGGCGCTACCTGTACGGTGGGTGGGGCTACACGATCAATGGGCGGGACGAAGGCTTCTGTGGGCGTGTCTATGCGGTAGTGGGCGGGCTGAGACACGGAGGGTTGGCTCGCAGCTGGCCGCGTGTCGCGGTTGAGCGAGCGAGCGAGCACGACCGTGGCGTGGACGCGTGGCGCCTCGTCGGCTCACCTCGCAGTGCTCCGTCACGATGTAGAGGCTGGCGTCCTGCACGAAGCTGCCGTGGAAGCGCAGCACGGCCGGGTGCCCGAGCCGGGACAGCAGCCGCGCCTCGGCCAGGGCCCGCGCCTCGTGCCCCGGGGCCGCCCCCCCAAGCGGAACCTCCTTGAGCACCACGCTGGTGTCGCAGGGACAAGGCTGCTCTCACGTCTCTGGGAGGCTCAACAGCGACACGTGGCGAGCTGCCAGCCACTCCCCCCACTCCCTCCGTCACTCCCGCCCACTCGTACATAACCACGCCCACTCGTACATAACCACGCCCGCTAGTACATAGCCACGCCCGCTAGTACATAGCCACGCCCACTCAAGCACTAGCTCCGCTGTCTACACAGTGACGCTGCCTCTGTCAGGTCTCGCGAGTAGGGCACGAGGCCAGCAATGAGCACCGATGACTGCCGTGGTGCTGAGGAGTCCTAACGGCGACAAAACCGACCCACGGCTGCGGGGGCCACGGGGACCCACGTACGTGGCCTCCTCTGCGGCGGCCTCGGTGTCGCGCGCCAGGTGGACCCGGCCGAACGCGCCGTGGCCCAGGGGCCCCAGGAGCTCGTAGCGGCCTCCTGCGAGCGGAGCCGCCGGCTCAGCGCCGCACCCCTTCAAGCGCCGCCGCCGCCGCATCCTCCTCCCGCTGTGCTAGTTACAATAAACAACAACAACAATGAGAAGCCTCGGCAGGGGGTGTTGCTGGGATGTATTCATAAATAGTGTGATCCTGTTCTTTGGTTCTTTCGGTAAAGTCACGTAGAATGAGAATAAAATAATAAATTGATAAAATAAAATAACAAAAATATTATCACGACGTTTCAGCCACAACACAAGCGGCCTTCATCAGGTGAAGGGACGAGACTGTCTGGAGGACAGCGCTGGAGTGGATTGTGTTATTTTATTTTATCAATTTATTATTTTATTCTCATTCTACGTGACTTTACCGAAAGAACCAAAGAAGATTAATTATTGCAGTCACGAAAGCTTTAAATTGAGAAGTGTGATCCCGATGTATATACGAATGTTGAACTCCTTTCGCACCAACCGTACGTAGCCAACCGCGCTAATCGGAGGTGCGGGGAAGGGCAGCGAGCGAGCGAGCGGCTCGGAAGGCTGCGGGGAGTTCCCATCCCGCTTGGGGGGGGGGGGGACTCGGCCCATCATCCCTCCGGAGGGGAGGGGGGGCGAGCAAATGAGCACCGCTATGTAGGGGAAGCCAGCAGTCGTTGTGCTGTGGATAGACTCGCCCCCGTCATAGGAATGTGGAATGCTCCACCGCTGGCTCTGCAGGGCTATAAATGGGGAGGGGGGGGGGGGTGCGCCGATCCATCGATGCTCGTTTGCGTTGCAGGACATTGGCTTTGGCTTTTGGCTAAATTGGGGTAAGTTTACTCGAGGGTGGGACACGCAGCAATTAGGAGGAAAGCAAATTCAATTAACGCCCAGAACGACCCCGCAGGTGCGAGGCGCGGAAACTCAATCAGCGTGGGGGGCGCCGCGCCGAGTCGGGGGGAGGGGGGGGCGGACGGAGTACTCACGCAGGATTCGCATTTATTGCCACTTAAATGCCTTAGCGCCTTCCGTCTCATCTCAATCATTCCAATGCTCGTCAGTAGCTTTTGTTTAGACTCTGGGGGGGGGGGGGGGGGCGATGACAGCTGCCCCTGAGCGGCTGTGCACGGTTCGAACCCCTGCACTGGAGATGTTACGTTAACTGAATACGCGACGGACACACGTGTTCCAATCCCCGCTCGAGCGCCGATACAATGCTGGTGATGTAGATGATTATGACGTGTTGTAGATGATTATGACGTGTTGTAGATGATTGAAGTGTTGTAGATATCGTGTTGTAGATGATTATGACGTGTTGTGGATATCGTGTTGTAGATGATTATGACGTGTTGTAGATGATCATGAAGTATTGTAGATGATTATGACGTGTTGTAGATGATTATGACGTGTTGTAGATGATTGAAGTGTTGTAGATATCGTGTTGTAGATGATTATGACGTGTTGTGGATATCGTGTTGTAGATGATTATGACGTGTTGTAGATGATCATGACGTATTGTAGATGATTATGACGTGTTGTAGATGATTATGACGTGTTGTAGATGATTGAAGTGTTGTAGATTATTATGACGTGTTGTGGATATCGTGTTGTAGATGATTATGACGTGTTGTAGATGATCATGACGTATTGTAGATGATCATGACGTGTTGTAGATGATTATGACGTGTTGTAGATGATTGAAGTGTTGTAGATATCGTGTTGTAGATTATTATGACGTGTTGTGGATATCGTGTTGTAGATGATTATGACGTGTTGTAGATGATCATGAAGTATTGTAGATGATTATGACGTGTTGTAGATGATTATGACGTGTTGTAGATGATTGAAGTGTTGTAGATATCGTGTTGTAGATGATTATGACGTGTTGTGGATATCGTGTTGTAGATGATTATGACGTGTTGTAGATGATCATGACGTATTGTAGATGATTATGACGTGTTGTAGATGATTATGACGTGTTGTAGATGATTGAAGTGTTGTAGATTATTATGACGTGTTGTGGATATCGTGTTGTAGATGATTATGACGTGTTGTAGATGATCATGACGTATTGTAGATGATCATGACGTGTTGTAGATGATTATGACGTGTTGTAGATGATTGAAGTGTTGTAGATATCGTGTTGTAGATTATTATGACGTGTTGTGGATATCGTGTTGTAGATGATTATGACGTGTTGTAGATGATCATGACGTATTGTAGATGATTATGACGTGTTGTAGATGATTATGACGTGTTGTAGATGATTGAAGTGTTGTAGATATCGTGTTGTAGATGATTATGACGTGTTGTGTATATCGTGTTGTAGATGATTATGACGTGTTGTAGATGATCATGACGTATTGTAGATGATTATGACGTGTTGTAGATGATTATGACGTGTTGTAGATGATTGAAGTGTTGTAGATATCGTGTTGTAGATGATTATGACGTGTTGTAGATATCGTGTTGTAGATGATTATGACGTGTTGTAGATGATCATGACGTATTGTAGATCATTATGACGTGTTGTAGATGATTGAAGTGTTGTAGATATCGTGTTGTAGATGATTATGACGTGTTGTAGATATCGTGTTGTAGATGATTATGACGTGTTGTAGATATCGTGTTGTAGATGATTATGAGAGAGACTTCTCTCACATAAATTCGAAATGTACATTTTAAAGTACCGTGCAAAGGGCACGGTTTGGAAATCCTGTTGTACATCGTTAGTAATCTATTATATATTTCTTATCGTTAGTAATCTATTATAGATTTCGTAATCTATGATATATGGATAATAGACGTGTCGTGTACTTAGGACGTTGCTTTAATGGTGGAGAGTGCACGAAGTCAATAATATATCGTCGCTCGCGTCAACGCGAAGTCACTTTGCGTCTGCTGCGCTCCCTGTCCAGGGATATTGGTGGGGAGCTGCTCCCGTCTGTACGTTTGTACCCCCGCCCCTGCACAGGGCCGGACAGAATCGGAATATTTCAGGATGATGTATTTATACTGGAGGAATCCGACGAGCTATAAAGCTCTTTTTCATCGCTGTCCATGGGGGGGCATAGCTCCCCTCTGGGGGTTGCTGGGACAAATGTAACAATTTAAAGGCGGGAACGGCACAAGTGGGGGTGGTGTGGATAGAACCACGCCCGGCCGCCTTTGTCTCCCCCAGTGACGATGTCTACACACCGCACCAAGTACTGATTTAAGGCTGAGTCGACCGAGGGGAGACCTACACGACACACACACGTGCACATCTACCGCAACAAACAAGGGAGAGGTTACAGTCTAACGAGAAACTCACATCATCTTGTTTCATCATCTCATCATATAATCAGCATCGTTATCTTCATCAACACCATCACCATCATCTAATTAGCATCGCCATTTAAAACACATCATCGTCATCAACCACGTGATCATTGAATCTACCTGCACGCGTTCTCTTCACCACCCAAGACTGGACACTGGAAACCGCGGAGTGGACGAAAGTAACCCCCTCAACCTGGAGCCTGGATCCTAACCCCGGAGTGGAGTCAGCAGCCTCCTCAACCTGGTGCCTGGATCCTGACCCCGGAGTGGAGTAAAGTAACCTCCTCAACCTGGAGCCTGGATCCTCCACCCGGCACCTAACACGTGACAAGTTTGATGCGGGGTAGGGGTCAGCGAATCGGCACGCGTGGTACTCGCCGCGGAGGGTCACCCTGGAGCCAGCGACAGACAACGCCCCCCCCAACGCCACCCACCCCCCGTTCCCAACACCGCTGTGCCACGCGTCTCACGACACAGCCGCGGCGTCATTCGCAGAAACGACAGCGCCCCCCCCCCCCTCCAAATGGCCGATGACATGAACACGACGCAATGAACACGACGCAATGAACACGATGCAATGAACATGCCAGAGTGGCCTGGCGGTGAAGGCGGACAGGCCGCCACATGCCGTGGCAGAGCCACTGTCCGTGGGCTGCCCGCGTCCCGGGACTCGGACTCGGCTTGCGGTGTCGACACCTCGCCCCGTGCCCAACGGACAGCGAAACGCGACTCAGCGCGTCTAAATAACGATCGTCGTCGTCGTCATTGATACTAACTCGGAGCCCTTTGTCAATCCACTGCTGGATGAAGGCATCTCCACACGCTGTGTCAATCACGGGGGGAGGGAGGATTGTTTGACCATACTTCACCACGCTGGGCAGCGCGGGTTGGCGAAGCGGCATAGCGTGGGGTAAAAAAAAAACCCAAAGAGCTGGAGGAGGATCGGTCAAGGCCGGTGCGGACATCGCTCGCCACTGACGACAGCCGGGGGCCGGGATTCGAATTTAGTTCGCCGGGTTTCGGGGTGCAGTGCGCCGCTAACCGTGCACGCGCGCAGCGCGATTAACCCAGACGCCCCCACTATTATTACAGAAGTCAACATTTCATTTGTAAAGCCTCCTCGCGTCTCCTCCTCAACGATTGTTAAATATCGCATCGCTCTGCTCTGTAGCTCACGGAGCCGTCGCGTTCGAGAAGCCGCGAGTCAAGCGAACGATCCGCGGGGCGTCTCTGAGCGGAGACGCCCGTGCACACTCACACGCGGCAGTGGGAAACGACACCGCGGGGTATTTTAAAAAAACACAACACAAGCGGGGAATTAATCAATTACCACCACCATCCGTGTGGCTCAGCGAAAAAGACACACGCACACCAGTCCACCTGACCGTAAGCACGAGCGAGATCAAGCCAATGAGTCCGGGATTCGAGGACTCGCGGATTCAGGATCCCACCGCCGCCGCCGCCGCAACCTCCCTCACCTGCCAGGTGTCCCCGTGTCCTAGCAACGGCGCTCCCCACGCAACGCGGCCGCTCATCCCTGCGGAGGCCGGCCGAGCCATCACTCAGCTCCACATGGCGACTCTTCCATTTGTCTGCGACCTTTCTGGGCTGCCCTCGCGAGCGGCGGCGCGCCTCTCGCTCCGCTGGATCCGTGCCGCCGCCCGCGCTCGTTCCGCTCGCGCGCCGCGTCGGTGGATTTCGGGCTGCCACCTCCGCGGTGCAGGAACAAAAACAACCCGGGAACAACGTCGGGGGTGGTGGGGCTTGAACCTCACAATCGCCGTGGAAGAGGGGAGAACCACGGCGTCAATGAGTGAGCACTGCGCCCCGGTGTTAGAACCACGGTGTTAGAACCACGGTGTCAATGAGCGCTGTGCACCGGTGTGTTAGAACCACGGTGTTAATGAGTGAGCACTGTGCACCGGTGTTAGAACCACGGCGTCAATGAGTGAGCACTGTGCACCGATGTTAGAACCACGGTGTCAATGAGCGCTGTGCACCGGTGTGTTAGAACCACGGTGTTAATGAGTGAGCACTGTGCACCGGTGTTAGAACCACGGCGTCAATGAGTGAGCACTGTGCACCGATGTTAGAACCACGGCGTCAATGAGTGAGCACTGTGCACCGATGTTAGAACCACGGTGTTAATGAGTGAGCACTGTGCACCGATGTTAGAACCACGGTGTTAATGAGTGAGCACTGTGCACCGCCACCTCCTGGCAAGGTAGCCAGGAGGTGGCGGGAGAGCGATGGATGCTTGAATCTATCCATGTGGAGCGTTGTTACCCGTCGTTATGCCTGGGTTTCCTATTTGGACTTTGGGTTCCTCATCCACGGGTTTGGCTAAACACCGCAATGTAGCCACTGCACGCATGTCGATCTACTAGATTCCCGTCTTCACCAACCTACTCGAACCAGCGTGGCGTGCGGTGAAACAGCCGGCACAGTGCGGGGAGGCCGTCATCCAGCAGCGGAATGGCGAAGGGCTGTGCACGCACCCACGTGCACACATTCTAGAATGCGCCACCAAGACTACCGGGGAAGAAACCACCGCACAAACACGAGGGGGAATGGATTGTTTAAGTGAAATGTGACCCCTCGGGGGACGGTTCATTGAATCTCCGATGGCAATACAGTAAACCCTGAGCACTACTCGGGCGCAAGCGTCGATGACGCTAACCGCGCACTGACGCGCGTGTCGTCAACGGGACCCCCGCGAGTTCCCGACTACGACTCGGCGGGGCTCTCGGCCGCGCGCTGGGGTTACACACCGCCCGGCGGTTGCGGCGACGCTCGCACAGCCGCACAGCACGACCGCAGAAACGTCGCTCAGCGAGGCTTTCCCAGATAAATGACTCTCACTTAATCTGCCGCTATCGGGCGGTTAGAAAATAAAAAAAAAACAAATCGATCCCATTCTTTTTTCTCCGAGTTTTTTTTAAACCACTCTCCGTCTCTGCTGCGGCCCCACGAACCAAACGTGGCCGGCTTGCGCAAAGTCCGATGGAGTCACCGCGCGCCAACGCACGGCATCTGCCCGGAAAACTCGGGAGCGACTCCGTGGCGCCCCGCGGCAGGCACGGCACAGAGCCGAGAAAAATGATCTTCGCTCGTGCCAAGTCGCGCCACCGGGAGCTGCAAGGGCTTCCTTAATTGCTGCTAGCAAAGTGCGTTAGCCATATGTCAATTCCGCACAGTCAACGGCCAATTAAAAACGAGCTTCAAATCTACAGTGCGAGACGGCACAACGAAGTCCCTGAGTGCGGAGGAGCGAGGTGGGGTTGCGCGCAGGACCATAGGGGGAAAGACACACACACACTGGCAAGCGTACAAGCCTTCATCCGGCAGCGGAGAGAAAATAACCGGCAACGGCGACAAGATCCCCAAGTGAAATTAAAACGCAGGACGTGGCACATTCTTGGATCAAATAATTTTAATTATCAGAAAATACATTACCCTGAAATTCCTCACTATGATACAACTATAATTACAGGTATTAAAAACTGCCAAATGTGAATGGATAAGGGTGAGCGAAACAGTCAAATACCGCAGGGTAATACCGCCACCATCTACGCGTTACAATGCGGACCTCCTACAGGGAATACAGTTAAACAGACGACAGCAGCACTTCCTACTGTGAGCGACATTGCTTGAAAGAAACCCTCCGGAGCGATGCAAGGCGCGAGCTGCATTTATTTTGAATTATCTTTAAGAGCAGTTTTTGATTTCGCGTGTCCGCTCACGACCGCGGCAAACGATGCCCGACGCACGCACGGCCCAACGTCTCCACTCCACGACGGGAGCAGGGCCGCACGGTTCAGTGGTTTGCACATCGAGCATGCCACAACACAGTCCCACGCACGCGCGCACACACGCTAAGAACGAACACGAGATGTGACAACACCGCGCCACTTAATCGCTTTGACAGCGGCACAGACTCGCATCATTGCTTTGGCGACGGAAATACGCACGCTTGATCAGGAGGGTGCGTTTCCTCCGGAGGGGGGCGGTGAAATAAATACAACGGTGAAGTCAACGGAACGCGGCCAGCGACGGCAAAATAAACAACAGAAGTGGTTGTGTCCGCTTTGGAAGCTGCCGTCAGGATTCCGAGCGTGCGGCGCGACGATGACCCTCGGCCCGCGAGCGCCGTGTCTGGCGCTCGCTGCGCCACGGCCTTCAGCTCCGGAGCTCTGGGCCCTCGATGACGAGATGGCCGAGGTCGCCGTGCGGGAAAAAGCGGTGGACAGGAGGTGGACGATCGGTCACCACCAGCGTTGCCACTTCCGCCACGTCGACCGGGCTGCGGCGGACGAGGTGGCGGCTATTTTGAGAGCGACGCGGTGGGATTGAAAATAAAAATAAATGCGAGGCCGCAAAACAGAGGCCCCCGCACGCAAACGCACGCACGCGACAACAAAAACCGACGACGGCAAGGAACACCGAGTGTGCACGTCTGTGACGAGCGTTCCACACGATGCGATGATGCCAGCAAGCCGAACCAAGTGCAAGGACCGTCCAAACAAATACTGCCGCGCGTGCGAAAGCATCACCACTTGAAAAGGCAATAAAACGTAATAGCATTGTCCCTTGGAGAAAACTGCGGGGAGAGGAAAAAAAAGCATTATAAAAGTAAAATCTGTTTCAAAACCGGCCAAGGTCGCCGCACGGCCCCCGTCGTCCGCGGCGAGGTTTTTTTGTCTTCGGCACCGGCGCGTGGCATCCCCAACACCGCCCCCTCACCCCCCCCCCCCCCACTTTCCCCCCACCTCCCCCCACCCCGCCGGCTGGGATCACACTTCAAGGAAGGATCCCCCCCCGTCGTGCTTGCGGGAGAACAACCTCCTCCGCTCCACCGCCTTCATCACCTCCGACGCGATCCACACGGTCGACGTCAGCCCCAGCAGGAAGAGCAGATCTGGCGGGAGTGTCAACAGGAGCGCACAAAGACAAAGATCTCCCGTGCAGCATTAACAGACCGTTGGGGCAAGTGCCGATAGCGAGCACCTGGAAAGGTCCGCACGGCACACGAGGCGGTGCGTGGCCAGCACCACGCCCGGCCGCCTTTGTCTCTCCAGTGGCGATGTTTACACACCGCACCAGGTACTCATTTGAGGCTGAGTCGACCTACGGGAGGCCCAAGACCGGTTCAGATAATCGTCAATGGTGTTGGCCGTGAGCAGGAACCAAACTCGGGTCACCGGGTTCGTAGTGCGCTAACCGTTACAAGACCGCTCCCCACATGTGCAGATGCACGCACATGCACACAATCACATACGCATGTGCATGTGCGCATACACAGTTACACACACTCACGCGCAAACAATAAACTAATGAATTATTGATTTAATTTGTCTAGAACTCAGGCAGGTACCAATGGGACTACCACTTTTTCGTAAAATGGGATGCGATAGACAACTGGTCCTGGGTGTAATGACCACTAGGCTCGTATTTACAGCCAGATGAGCGCACGTTGATCTGCTGCCGCCACTACCAGCCCAGGATAGCGCTGCTTGCAGTGAAGCGAGGATGAGCTGTCATCTCAAATATTAAAATGTTAAAATACCGCAAGCATGGCCAGCTGAATAAAAGTACGCACGTCTCTAAAACCGTAACGCCACGTAGCGCCCCTCCCTGCGGGACAAGCGCAGGGGAGAGGTTTCGTCTACGGTGCTTTCTGCTCAGCCGCAGAGACGCCATGGGCGGCGAAGATAAATTATTAAAATTACCGAGATTTTCTTTCGGCAACGATGGCAGGCGACATGCGGGGGGAACACTCGGCAAAGCACTTCGGAGGGGCAAATTGTTCTGCTGCCAAGAGGGCTAAGTTGGAAATATGTTTTCCAAACTCTCTTTTCAAAACTGGTCCAGAAGAAATGACGGCTGCTGCCGAGACACGTCGTGGTGGAGGGGGTGGGCAGAAAGCAACTGCCCCTTTTGCGCCTCTGATCCTCACACAGATGCACACGTCATCAAACACACGCACGCACGCAGCCTGGCACGCTACCAACATGCATAACGACACACGGGCACACACACAACCATGCTGACACATTGCCAACACGTACACACAGCCAGACACACACAGCGTGACATTGACACACGCAGGCATGTCATCGCACACACGCACGCACCGACACACCGACACAAAGACTCACAATGACACACACCACCACACTGACACCCACACACACCATTACATAGCCACACACACCCGCTGCTACAATGACAAACAGACATGCCACCAGGGCGGGCGATAGGGGATGGGGGGGCAGGCAGGGCGGTGGCACCGCCACCCTCTCCTCTTACCCACTGCGCTGAGGTTCTCCGTCTGGAACACCTGCTGCAGGGGTGGGAAGTAGATGACGGCCATCTGCCCCATGATGCTGCCCCCCACCGCGTAGCAGAACATGCGGTTGCTGAAGAAGCCGCTCTCGAACACCGACTTGGTCTGCGGGCGGCACGGACGGTGGCGTCAAGAGCCGCCGCTCGCCGGCATCCCAGCGACGAATTCATTTCCTCACCCGGCACACCGCATCCACCATACCCCCCCTCTCTCTATCTCTCTCGTGCCACCGACACCAATCTTGTCTCACTGAGAAAATATTCCATGAGGAATTAAAAACCTGGCCCTATATTCTCACAATCCTCCATAAATCAAAGAAGCATCATGAAGTATCTTGGGAAAAAACTTGATATCCCACAAATTCTCACTGTCCAGAAAGTAGTGGGATTTTATTGAGGAGGAAAATTTAAGGGATGAAATAAGTGACTTATTAAGCTGATTGTGCGGCCATCTGTGCGAACATGATGCTAGAGAAACTGCCAACACACGACGATGTGTTCTCGCGCAGCAAACGTGGCCGTGTTGATTGCCTCTTAAAAAGTGTTCGTGCAGAGTCGCTGACCCACGATGAGTAAAGAGCAGCCGGTAATGAAACCAGCTCGCGCGTAAAAACATTTAACCGATTATCTTTTTGGCAAGCGCGGTTAACGCGGAGCCCGTGTGTGCGGGGATCCCACGCTCGGTAACCTGCGATCGCGAGCTCAGGGCGTTGAACATGTCGAAGAAGACGAAGCAGGTGAAAGTCATGGTGGTGTCCCGGGGCGTGATCATGTTGTCCTGAAGCTGCATCCGCGCAGGGCGAGAGGAGCGAGAGCGTTACCCTCCGAGTGGCGGGGGCACACCGTTACAGACGCGGTCGTCAATTTACGCGCGCGCCGTTATTAACGACGGTTAATTTTTATTTTATAGTTTCAGTTTATTTATTTTGGTATAGCCCTGTGAGCCATTCGGCTCTTGAATCGGGTGCAACCACAACAAACAAAAAAACAAAAACACGAATGAAAAAACATCTTAAAGTGACTATGTGACTGTGCAAACAGAAAATCCATGAAAAAACAGCAAAATAGTCCTGAAATAGCACCGTACACCAACGCTGTGTGCAAAAAATCCCAGTGGGATGCAAGTCAAACAAGAACAACAACCACAAGAAAACTTAGATTAAGGCCATCAGTCTAACTCCGTACTACAACAAAACAAACCAAAAAACTTTTCGAAATCACCAAAAAATAAAGTCATAATTGCAACGTAACAGTGATCATAGGGACTGTGACCGAATTTTTACAATAAACTACATAAATAACATGTAACACCAAATCCTAGAGCCATAGCTGGCTGCATGAGTTACTCCACAACAACAGAAGTATCAGTCGGAGTATCACATTTTTCAATGCACCTTTAAGATCAGCACGCTAAATCAAAATACAGATAATACTTTGCAGCGTCATCTGGAGCGAAACATTTTATTTTATTTTACACCAATGAATAGCAGTGGCAGCTAGGGGTGTACAACTCCTCTAGCGATTCAAGTTGCAGTTTATTGGCAATAGCATTCCAGAGCCTGGGGGCATCAATAGCAAAGGCCCTTCCTCCAGTTTTTGTACGGCAATAGGGAATGTGAAGCTGGTAAATGAGCGAAGACCTTAGGTCAAATTTGTTCTTTGAAACAGAGAGGGGATCCAGCAGGTAGTCTGCGGATTTTTTTGTAAGTACATCGTGAATAAATAAGATCTGGTGCACAAGCCGTCGAACATTAAGAGATGTTAAGTTTGACCCAATGTAGAGATCACAGTGTTGAGTCCTATATGGGCAGTTCAATGTAAATCTTAAGGCCGAGCGATAGATGGAATCAAGCTTCTTCAGTACAGTACTTGGGGCTGATTTATACACGATGTCACAGTAGTTAAGTAGAGGCAGTATGGTAGCTTTTATCAATTCCAAACGAAACATTGGGGGGAAGCAGTGCTTGTGTCGATACAGAAAACCAATTTTTATTTTTGTCTTTTTACCAATATAATCAATGTGATCTTATAAATTCAGTTTTGAATCCAGGATGACCCCAAGATACTTACAGATCTTGACTTGCTCTATTTGACAATTATTTAAGGAATGTAATTGGGGAAAAATAACTTCCGGCTTTAGTCCTGGTGACAAGCATAGCACCTTGGTTATGGTGGTATTCAGGACTAGTTTAAGAGCAACTAGCTGATGTTGTAGTTTGTTGAAATGACCCTGAAGCTTAGCAATCACGTCATCCGGAGAGCAGCCAGCAGTAATCAGTATCGTGTCATCTGCAAAAATATTTACCCTGGAATGATCCAGGTCAGTGCCCAAGTCACTGACATAAAGAGAGAACAAAAGGGTGCCGAGGATGGAACCCTGTGGAACCCCTTTTGTTATCTTAACACTGTTGATTACGAGCGGAGCGTGGTCTGGGAGGGAGCGATTTATGCGAGACGCCACGGGTGCGTGGCGGCCTACTCCCCGCGCGCAACGATCGTAAACCGCAGCACTGCGGCCGCGGCGCCAGCGTCGCGCACGCAGATGGATGGGGACTGGAACGAAACGCGCTCGCGCCTCCGTAGACTTCCGCGGGCAGCCCTCACCTCCCTCCAAAACACGAAGAGGGTTCCCGAGACGATGATGATGGCGGAGATGAGGATCTTGGAGATGAGGCTGCGGGTGAGGATGCTGTCCTTAACGTTTCTCGGAGGCTGCCGGATCACGTCCTTGTCGACAGGCTCCACGCCCAGACTGCATCGGCAACAACAAATACACGCTCGTTACACAATACAAATACACAACAGAATTACACAATACAAATGCAATTACAACACAATGTGGATTCATAGAGTGAAGTAATGCTCAACCATGTTGGTACGGTGGTCTCCCAGTAAAGACAACTGTGCCCCCCCATCCCCCGCCCCTACAGCCGCCACCCCAACCCCCCCCCCCCCCCCCCCACCTTTGTCTTAGCTGCAAGGGTCACGGTACGGAGCGATCACATGTACACCGAGTCGACGCAGTGTTGGCCAGGTATGTGTTTCACGTTGTGTGTCAGTGTGTTTTGTGTTTGTTTCTATGGGTCTCAATGTCGTTTATAAGCACGTCCATGCGTCTCAACGCGAGTTTACTGTTCTCCATGGAAATCTTTGCGAGCCAATACAATTACGCGACGCGGACTTATGTGGCGTCTAAAAGCTCCCCCCAAAAACACACCGGTGTACGCGGGCTCCACGGTCAATGTGCCCACGTGACCGCGGGGCGCTAAGCAAGAGTCCGGGAACTGAAACCACACTGGGACAGAACATCGCCGAGCTGTCCCGCAGGGATCGGCCTGGTCGTGACGAGCGGCCAGAGTCTCGCTCGCCGGTGACGCCGCGACGCGACGCGAACGAGCGAGCAGGTACCTCTGGGCGGGCGGCCCGTCCATGATGATGTTGATCCACAGGATCTGCATGGCGTTGAGCGGGTTGGGGAAGTTCATGAGCGTCGCCAGGGTGATTAGAGTCAGGGCGGCGATGCTCCTGCAACGCACGGCTCACCGTCAGCATCGTCAACATCGTCAACATCGTCATAGCTAGTCGGCCAACAACTATCCACTGCTATTCATCGCTTGTAAAGTCTCAATCCCTCTAGCACCTGCACTTGAGATCATTTAACTGAGAGGCCATCGACTGCAGAGATGGAGCAATGAGATGAGCTCGTGCGCAGGTGCTGGTCGGAGCGTCAAAACGCAGGATCGTGGCGAGACGGTGACGGCTTTAAGAGGCCTTCATCCAACAGCGGACCGATCACGGCTGACAATGACGACAGCGGCAGCGACCTCTGCCGTGTTTAGCCGTCGGTAAAGATGACGGATAAAACGAGAAGCCCAGCCGGGCAAAACCGCCCTCATTAAATCGAGCGGCGCAAAACAAAGAGAGAGGAATATTTTTTTTCGTCGTTCCTTAAACACGCTTTCCACTCCAGCGACGGGCGCGGCGCGCGTGGCGCCGGGGTCGGCCCTGCGTGGGCTGCGCCACCTGCTCAGAGTCGATTACCGCACCCAATTATCGCGGCATCATGCGCGACCCCTGCCCTCGTCGACGTGACGATCGGGGCGGCCGCAGCGAGCGGCACTTATTTATGAAGTTGGAGCGGCGCCTCGGAGGACGGGCGCGGCGGGCGCGGCGAGGTCATCCCGCAAACGAGGCCGTGCAAAATACACGACACGACTCTAAAACGCTCGACGTACGCGCAAACCCGGCGATGTCAAACGCCACGATCCACAACAACAACGACGACGGGAAGCCACATTTCCCTGGAGCGGCGACTTGCTGTTCCACGCGATTACGTTGCCACGTGCACGACTTGCAAGCGCTTGCACAAGATTGGAGGTTGTCAAGGTACTCCGTTATTTTAATGAAGGACAGATAAAGAATGCAAGACTAGCTGATGGATCGCGATGTTTTGGCCACGGACGTCTCGAAACAGACTCATCAGTCATTAGCTGTGCGGGAACTGGCAGAAAATGTAATTCGTGTTTGCGTAATTAGGGCATTTATCTCGTTGAATTATGACCATGCTCTGACAGTGCGTTCCGTCTGCAAATGTGTCCCGTGTCCGCTGAAAAACAAACAAACATGACTCACGTGCTCAGCTGAAATCTCACAAAGTTCTTGATGTTGTAGAAGATGCCCTTCCCTTCCTCGATGGCGGACCTGCAGGGCAAGTACATGGCGCAGAGGCCAACGTCGTACGCACCCGGGTAAGACAGGCGGACAGAGATAAACACACCGAGACAGAGACAAGGACACGGACACATGCACACACACGCACGCCGACAGTTGCACAATTTTGTTGTCCTTCCCCCGCACCTCTGATTAGCACGGTTGGCTATGTATGGTGTGAAAGAAGTTCAACGTACATAGAGACTAGGACTGACCCAGGGACACACGTACACACAGCTATAAGATAGGGGACACCAGGACACACAGACAGAGTCCCGGCTCCAGGCATCTCGAGACTGCCCTGCGACTCATCGGTGCTACCCTGACTGCCCCGGCTGCCCATGGGGCTCATCGTCGTCGTTGCTGTCGTTGCTGTTATTGTCGCTGTTATTGTCGCTGTTATTGTCGCTGTTATTGTCGCCGTTATTGTCGCCGTTATTGTCGCTGTTATTGTCGCCGTTATTGTCGCCGTTATTGTCGCCGTTATTGTCGTCGTTGTTGTCGTTGTTATTGTCGCTGTTATTGTCGTTGTTGTCGTTGTTATTGTCGCTGTTATTGTCGTTGTTATTGTTGCTGTTATTGTCGCTGTTATTGTCGTTGTTATTGTCGTTGTTGTCGTTGTTATTGTCGCCGTTATTGTCGCTGTTATTGTCGCTGTTATTGTCGTTGTTGTCGTTGTTATTGTCGCTGTTATTGTCGCTGTTATTGTCGCTGGGCCGCGGTGTTTCTCTCTCCTCCTCTCTCCCGGCCGGTTCCCTGCACTGAACCCTGCACCCCCGGCTCCCCTAGGTCATCACTTCTGCGAAGCCCCTTGGGATGGTGGTTATATTTAGCTGCTGTATAACATTTAAATTGGTGTTGTTGTTGAGACAGACACGGACTGAACCGCGCACGCACCCGGACCGAAAGAGCAATGCGCAGAGACGGGGAGACGGCAAACGAGGATTCGGACCGCGACGGACAAGAGACAGGGGGACACAGTTTGAGGCAGACAAACAGAAAGACTACGGGACAAGGAGATGGATTGAGACATGGAGACAACAGAGAAAAAGACTTGAATGGGAAAACAAATTGAGACAAAGACACACACTGTCAATAACTCGGATACACAGGGAGACAGACACTCACACACGGAGACAGACAGCTGAGACAGAGACAGGAACTAGATTGTGATAGGAAAGCAGACTCAGACAGGGAGACAGACTGAGATGGGAGCACAGACTGGGAAAGTCACACACAGCCAATGGCTCAGATACAAAAAGACAGAGAAACTTGCACAAGGTGACTAAAAACAGGGAGACAGAGAGACAGGGAGACAGGGAACCTGACTGAGAGAGGTGTACAGACTTAGACAAGGAGAAAGATCAAGGCAGGAATACAAACGGAGACGGGGAGACAGATAAGAGACAGGGAGACAGCAGACAGAGAACCTGACTGAGAGAGGTGTACAGACTTAGACAAGGAGAAAGATCAAGGCAGGAATACAGACGGAGACGGGGAGACAGATAAGAGACAGGGAGACAGCAGACAGAGAACCTGACTGAGAGAGGTGTACAGACTTAGACAAGGAGAAAGATCAAGGCAGGAATACAAACGGAGACGGGGAGACAGATAAGAGACAGGGAGACAGCAGACAGAGAACCTGACTGAGAGAGGTGTACAGACTTAGACAAGGAGAAAGATCAAGGCAGGAATACAAACGGAGACGGGGAGACAGATAAGAGACAGGGAGACAGCAGACAGAGAACCTGACTGAGAGAGGTGTACAGACTTAGACAAGGAGAAAGATCAAGGCAGGAATACAAACGGAGACGGGGAGACAGATAAGAGACAGGGAGACAGCAGACAGAGAACCTGACTGAGAGAGGTGTACACACGGAGACGGCGAGCGCTCACATGATGGTGTAGAAGTCGTCGTCGACGAGGATCATGTCGGCCGCCTCCTTGCACACGTCCGTGCCGCTGCGTCCCATCGCCACGCCGATGTCCGCGGCCCTGAGCGCCACGGCGTCGTTCACCCCGTCGCCCGTCATCCCCACCACCTCCCCGTTCTTCTGCAGCGCCTGCGGGGCCCCGGCGTGGAGAGCCGCCCGCCCGTCGGTCGGCCGAGCGTTCGCCGCCCGCGTCGTCACCGCGCGAAGGTAAAGGGGCGCGGCCCCGCGGTGGCTCGCCACCCCTTCCCCCTACACTCCCACGCTAGTCAGACTTCTCGGAAAAGATCGGAGTAGCCACACTTTGCCGCACCGCACGCGACCTGCCGATCGCCGTGCGCGGCGTGACCCGTTCGCACACTGCTGGGCGGACAGAGGCGGGTGGGCGGGGGGCAGATTTCATAAACCTGCCCCGCCGGGTCAACTTCCTCGCCGGGGGATCGAATCGGCGACCTTCTGGACGGCAGGCGCAGAGTTCCGACCGTTACACTGCGGCAGAGTCCCCACCCGCTGCGCGTGTTTCATAAAATGTTTTAATATTTTCCCCCGATGTCATCCCGTCTCGTACGCACTGTTTGTGTACTCCGCGACGTTTGCCGTGCGAGACCGTGGAGATGGAGCAGCGGGAGCGGCCCAGGCAACTCCTACAGTGCCGAGTATTTTTGCGGAGTGCTCATCGTCAGGGAAACAATCGCGATGCACGCACGCACCCAGGCGGGGGACGCGTCCGTGGAGATTGCTCACGAGGCCCCGTGACGCGGAGATTCTGTGGGACATCGCCATCTGGGGGTCGCCGTCCGAGTCTCGTGCTCACCGACTCGTTTATATCATTATTCATCCGCTCCGTCTTGTTCGTAAAATGTTAGAATCGCACCCAATCGTAATGCGAGCATATCATTTGTATAAACGGTAAATGACAGATTAATACCCACAATCCAGTGCCCGCATCACGAGCGTAAGAAGCAATTTCAGTCGGTGATTCATAAGTGATTTTTTTTAGTTCGGCCAAGGAATGACGTGTTCTAATTTGCGTCGTAAGACCCTCCCCCCCCCCCACCTTAACATTGGCCGCGGAAAATCTGCACGTCAAGTTCAGCCGATGATCGGTGCATCGTCAACACGTGGCACGCGTCGGAACCGCACCGCGCGCCCCTGTCTGTCCAACGGACGTCTGAAGCCGCGACAGCGACAGCACGCCGTTCACGCCGCGGCCGGGGGCTCCGGCACGGCAAGCGCCGGCGGCACGACGGCACGGCCAGCGCCGGCGGCGCGACGTCACGAGCATTCCAAACGCCGCCGGGAGCGGCCCTTCGGCGGTCGCGACGCCACGGGCCGTGAGCGGCGAGCTCGCGCGTCGCTCACGACTCCGCCGCCTCATTAACGGAGCTTCAAAAGCCTCTCGCCCGACAGGCCGACGCGCGCGGCACGGACGCGTCGTGTGCGGGGTCAGCGCCGTTTGTTTCTCGGGTCGCGCGTCCCTTTAATGAGGCACGGGGCAAGCGGCGAGGCATTCTCATCAGACGAAAGCTCCATCACCTGGCGCCGCCGGCCCCGAGATCTCTGTGCCGCTGCGCTCGCCCCGTGGGGGGAAAAAATGCGAAACGTTTTGGCAACAAAACGCCAAGCAGACAGCATCCACAAACAACGATGTATAATTGGCCGGTGCAATTCGACGCTTAGGCTTCGTAATAAAACGAGGTTCACGTTAAAATACGTAGGGGCAGCGGGGTAACGAGCAGAGCGGAACACCGAGCTGCCGTGAGCCGTGTGGCACGTCCACCGACGTGCAACGAAACAACCAGCGGGGAAGGGAGACGAGGCTAACGGACAGCCGGCGGCCCGGGAGCTGCTGCCACCAGGAGCTGCGATTGCAACAAGGAAAGACTGGACACTGCGCAGTGAGCGATGGGCACTGAGCACAGGGGACTAGTGACTGGGCCCATGGCACAGGGTGCAGACTGAATGTACCTTTACGATCTTGAGCTTGTGCCTGGGGCTAGCTCGGTAGAACACGGACACCTGCAGCACAACAAAGGCGGACGCAATTCACAATCAAGGAAGAAAAATCACGCACGCGCATGGATTCTGTAACGCCTTCCGACACGCGTTTTTCCTCGGAAGTATTGAGTAGCGGTGTGGATGCCGACAGGCAGCCGTCAGGGCAATATGCATTTGCATATTCCAGTTAAGTCCTTTGTGTGCTGGTTTTTATCTGAAAGTTGCGGGTCACCCTATACTTAGCATGGCTGGTGTCCTTGTGTTTAAGCACTCAACTCCCGACCGCCATCGTCGTGAGATTAAGATTCGATATTTACCGACGAATTGATACGCGCCGACACCCCTAACGTCAGCGACGGCGGCACCGCAGCTCCGATTCCGATGCACGGCTAACATCAGTGGCGAGCCAAGTGCGACCCGCCCGGTCCCGGGCACCATGGCACGCTTGGGCAACCCCCAGAGCCGACGCGGCGCGGAGAGCTTTTCATCCACCAGTGGAGGGACGACAGGCTAAACGTGTTACGCAAGAGACACGCCGCGACACCTTTAACCGATAAACCCTCAACAGCTCCACGTGAGGAAGAGCACGCGGGGCCGAGTTCAGCGGTAGAGTGCGACAGAGAGGCCGTGGGAAACCCGGACACGCTGGACGTCGCCGCACATCTAGAGAGAGAGAGGGGGCGACGCATGGCTGGCGGGAGTGGCGCACGCAGTCAATTTTGGAGTGGCCAAATTGACTCCACCTAAGGACTGCCACTCAATTTGGGAATTAAAAACCGTTTGTGTAGATATTCTGTGTTGTGAAATTTTGTACATCTGTCGTGTCAGGGATTATCGTTTACAATACTCATTATTTAAACATTAAAATATATATTTGCCATAAAATATAACTGCTGGATGACGGCCTCCCCAAGCCGGCGCGATCCTGCGATGTAAGAATCCACGTAGCACCTGCAGACGAGCCGATTTCAGTGCTCCATCTCCACGCTAGACGTTACATCCTTCGGCTGCCACCCTATCATTATCCCAGCCAGCGCCATATCCTGCCTGAGCGCGCCCACACGTAACACGTTGCACGTGTTGATCATTTTATCGGTCGTCTAAATATTTGAGGGTGGCCTCTGGTAGCAACTGAGTGGGGGTGTCGGTCTGGCGGGGGGTGGGTGGGGGGGGACGCGTGCTCGTCCTCACCTTGCGGATGATCTGGGAGAGTTGCGTCGTCTCCATCAGGTCCATCTCCTCCCCGGAGATGGCGGCTCCGCCGCCATTGGAGGACAGCCCGAGGCGGTTGGCTGCCGCGAAAATCACGAAGCCACGGTCAGCGGGACGGCCACGAGGGGACCTCCGTCTCAACAACGGACCACGGCGCAACGGAACTCGCGCGCACGTTGACGGCACGGCCGCCAACTGCGACCCCGCCGAAGATGGGACGAGCGCGCGCCCGGACGCCGGCGCCGCCGTCCGCGCCGCACGTTCGCTTGTGCCCGTCACCCCCGTACCTATGGCGACGGCGGTCTCCATGGAGTCGCCGGTGACCATTTTGACGGAGACGCCCGAGGAGACGAGGATGGCGACGGACTTGCGCACGCCGGGCCGCGGGGGGTCGATGATGCCCACGAGGCCCAGGAAGGTCAGCTGGCCCAGCTCGGGCCCCGAGGCCATGGCCAGCACTGCAGGGACACACGACCCCACGGCCCGCTCGGTCCCAGCGTGGCCCGGCCGCTCACGCCGAAGGGCAACTCCGAGCCACCGACAGTTGCTCGCAGTCACTCACAGTTGCTTACACGCTCTCTCATTCACTAGCGGTCAGTGCCGGTTGTTCCTGGTGACCCCCAGGTATTCCCCATGACTCTCAAGCACTCCCAGTCACTGCCAATGACCACTTGGGATAGCGACGACTTGGGGTGGCCTTTATCCAGCATTGCTTATGCTGATGATGCTGATGAGAACTGCGAGCAGTCACACTCATCTTCGTCACGATGCCCGAGGCCGGTATTTACGCATGACATGTTTAGCGGAAGAATTTGGGGGAGCAGGGGTTGGGGGGGGGGGAAGGGGGCTGACCGCGTAGGCCGCTGGCGCCCATGTAGGTCTCCTCCTGCTTGTAGAGCACCAGCTGCTGGGCGGACAGCGGCAGCGTGTGCCCCTGGCCACGGAAGGAGCAGCACATGTCGATGACGCGCTCGAATGCGCCCTTCACGAAGTAGACCTCCGCCTTGTCCTGCGCACCGCACTGCACACACAGCTCGCCCGATCGGCACGGCGCCCTGACACCGCACGAGCAGCTCGCCCGTCGGCACGGCGCGCCACTCCACCCGCCGGTAGAAGCTCCACCGCCACTTAACACGAAACTATTTTTATCTTACCAGGTAAGGCCCACTGAGCTAGATAGCTTTTTTTCAGAAGTGACCTGGCCACAAATGATAGCTCAACGAGAAGTGGCTTATCACGTGGAAATTTACAGCAGCCAAATACTCTGAACGCGTGATGCTAATGCTAAATGTGGAGGGAAAAACCGGAGGATCCGGAGAAAAATCGACGCGACCACAGGGAGAACATGCAAACTCCAAATATACAGCAGGCGTCAGGGTCGGGATTGAACCCACAACCTCCTGTATACGAGGTAAGGGAGTTAAGGTCACGTGACCACGGCGCCGTACTTAGCAAGTCGAGCCGAGCCCTAAACCCTCAGCTAACTTAACTCTAGCCTAACTTGGCTCTCATCTGAACCTACTTAATCCTCACATAAGGCTAACTTGACCCTCGCTCTTACCCTCGTCACCTCCTATCTCCAACCCTGTGGCCTAGCCTCGTACTCGCCTAACTTGTTACTCTACTCATTTATCCAGGGGAACCACACTGAGCCCTTCGGACTCTGTTTGAAGACCTTCCTGCCACATTGGGGTTTATGTGAAGATGTTGTGAGCCAATGAATGATGAGCTGTGTTTATTAAACACGTGAGAGAAAACCGGAGCACCCGGAGATAACCCATAATGCGCGAGGAGGCAACACTATCCCCGTGCAGATGGAAGCAGATGGCGATACGTCCACTTTGCTGTACGGCCTTCTACTGGCACGCCAGGGTACAGGCACCTCCTCGACACCTACCGGTAGAAAGGCGTTTCACACAACATCCGTGGCGGTGATTCACCAACCCTTGCTGCTGCTGCTGCCTCCACAGTGCTGGATCACAGGCAGCAGGCACGCGCAGCAGCAGCAGCCAGCACAGCCACCACCGCCACCCGGCTCACACCAACCTACCTTGAGGCTAACCCCATCCGAAACACAGTTTGTCCGTAATACAACGAAACTCTGTACACTGCCGAGTGTATGGATGTACGTTTAATTTCTTTAGCACCGTACGTAGCAAACCGTGCTAATTGGAGGTGCGGGGTGAAGGAATATGTGCGATCCTTGACCTACGCCTGTGCACGGTGCCTTTAATCCCAAGCAGGGATGGGCGACGGGGGGGGGGGGGGCGGGCAACGCGTGGCCGCGTGGGGGGGGGGGGTGGCTTTACCTGCTTTGTCTTGTGCACGCACTTCACCGCCATCCACTTCTGCTCGGAGCTGAAGGGGATCTCCCTCCTCCTGATGTACTCTCCCCGTACGTCCGCCAGGCCCATCTTTACGGAGGCGTCGCGTTACAGGGCGAGAAGCACAATCACTATCGACACCATCACTAGGCAATGTGATGCGATGAACTGTGACGATCCGTGGTCACGAGTGGATTCAAGGATAGGTTATTTTTGGTCTCAGTTTTGCCGTCTCATCTGTAATGTGTCAAACGAAGCTGTCTCGTTTGCACAATCCCGTTTACTCCGCGAGCTCGGATGTAACAGCAGTGTGCTACATGTATATCATTTCCATGAATTGTAAATAACCGATGCTGAGCGCAAAAATCCATTTTAATCAATGAATCAATGCATCGTTGTGTGCCCAATCATCACCACCACGGCCTGCCAAGGCAAAACAGGCTGCACCCGAGTCAAGAGCCGCATTGCTCACAGGGCTATACCTAATAAATGAAACTAAAACAGGGAACGGAACGGCGTTTCTGGGAACAATCCGGCAGTTAATCACCCATCAATCGGCTTCTAAATGCGGCCAGGGGACCAGAGAACAATGGGCACACGCACGGCGACATCCCACACGGCGTCCCGCGCACTCAATCGAGGCCCCACCCCATGTTAGCCTATGGGTCTCTACATCAGTCTATGGGTCTCGGTGGGGTAGTAAGGTGGTTGGCGTCGGCCCCGGTGCCAGAAATTAATTGAGGGTCGTCCGTCCAATTTTCCCCTCCAATCTTTGTAACCCGGGGCCTGGACTCCTCGGGCTCCTGGGCCCGGGCGCAGTGGCACCACCCACGCACTCGAGAGCCACGTCGCGGACGTCACGCGGTCGTTGCCGTCCACCCGTGGCCTCACCTTCATGGCGAGCACGAGCAGGGCGCCCTCCGTGGGCTGCCCCATCAGGGCCTTGTCGCTGCGGATGATGGCGTCGTTGCAGATGCACCCGGCCTGCACGCGGTTCAGGCCACATGGCTATGAACGTCAGCCCACCGGTCGCACTTCGTTCGGGACGAGCGGGCAGCCCGTCCCCATGAACGGGACGGGGGCGTTGGCATAGGTCCTGGCGCGAGCAATTAATTACGGCCCCCGCCTTCTTCCTAGCCCAAAACCTGGGCCCCAGAGCAGTTGCACCTATTGCACACTCGATAGCTACACCACCGGGATGGGGGCGATGTGATGCTCGCGCTCACACCGTTACCTCAACCCAGGTGATTCACTCACGGACAACCGAGAACTAATTGCATACACGCGTAATAGATGCACGACAATGACCCCGTGTAGCCTTCACAGACTGCTTGGGCAAAAGCAACTACGAAGTCCAGCACGGTAAACTCGTAAGTGATGTGTCAAGCGCCACGCCCGACCGCATTTTTCTCTCCAGTGGTGAAGTTTACACACCGCTCCAAGTAATAATTTGAGGCCGAGTTGACCTAGAAGAGGCCCAAGACTGGTTCAGATAATCGCCACTGGTGTTGAACGTGAGCGGGAAACGAACTCGGGTCGCCGGGTTCGTAGCGCAGCGTGCTAACGGCTGCGCTACAAACTCCACGCTACATCATGTACACACACACAGAGACACACAGAGACAGACAGAGACAGACACAGACACACGTGGGACAGCACTGCGGGTGGCGAGGAGCCTCCCCCCCACCCCCCACCTCGACAACGCTGGCGATGGACGCGTGGGAGTAGCCGTGCACGATCTCCCCCTCCACCCGCACCTCCCCGTCCACGTTGTAGCCCACGCCGGTCACCTGGAGCAAGCGCACGCAGCAAACCACACGCAGCAAACCACGCGCTTACACAACTCCCACAACGAACGGTGGCCGCGCAGCGCCGCACAATTCGCACCAGGGTCAGCCTCGGGTCGGCATAAAGGTCCCCCTCGGGTGAGAGGTCACTGGTCACCTCTGCGTGCAACCCGTCCGCCGTACAGATGTGCGTCGCGGTCATCTCGTTCTTGGTCAGCGTCCCCGTCTTGTCCGAGCAAATCACCGTACAGCAGCCTGCGGTGGACACCGGGGGTGGGGGCGCACAGACACACGCACGGGGTCACATGAGGCCACATGGGACACAGGATCACAGGGGCAGACGAGGAGAAAGGAGCGGACTGGCTCAGCACTGTCGTTGGGGGCCACACTCCCACAGAAACGCAACGAGAGAAGGACAGCAGTGTTCCCGAGGGCCACGCCCACCTCGAAGACGACGGGGGCGTTGTTATGAACTCACGCTGCTCATTGTAATATCACCAATCCCGCTTCTAACCTGCCCCAACGGTGCACGCTCCCAAAGGTTCTTATTGCACTTCGAGTCGGCTTACTGGAGACACTTACCGAGAAAGGGAGCTCAATATTTGTGTCAATCGAAGCATTTAATTTTTAAACGCAGGGTCGCGTGTCGGGGTCGCGTGCCAGGGTCGCGTGCCGGGGTCGCGTGCCGGGGTCGCGTGCCGGGGTCGCGTGCCGGGGTCGTACCCAGAGTCTCCACGGTGGGCAGCTTCTTGACGATGGCTCTCTTCTTGGCCATACGCATGACCCCGAGCGCCAGCGTCACCGTCACCACGATCGGGAGGCCCTCGGGGATGGCGGCCACCGCCAGGCTGCAGCGAGACAAACGGCGTCGCTCGGCTCAAAGCCGGCCACGCGCCGCAGCCGCCGCGACACGCTCTCACCCAGAAGCGTGCCATCGCAAACTCCACCGCCGTACCAATCCAATCCAACACCAGCACACCGCCACAGTGCTGCGCAATGTGCCACCACCGCGCTCTTCACCACAAGCCTCAGTGTCACAGTCGCCATACTGCATCGGCACACCCCCACAGCAACTTCTACCACCAACCCACACCTGTTCCCCTGCAAATCCACCAACTACCCACACCTCCAAGACATCACGACCACACATCACCACCACTAGACATCCAGCCACAAACACCGCCAGTAGGCCCCCACCAGTACACCACCGCCTCTATACACCACACTATCATGCCACTGGCCACAATTGGGGCCATTGCGTGAGCGAGCGTACCTGACGCCGATGGTGAACATGTCCAGGATGTGCTTGCCTTGCAGCCACCCGATGAGCATGATCAAACCTGGACACAGGCACACAAAAGATAAAGATCTCCCTGTAGCCTAAACAGATTGCTGGGGAAAGTGCTGTTCGCGACCACCTCTTAAGGCCGGCACGTCACACGAGGGGGTGGGTGGCCAGCACAACGCCCGGCTGCCTTTGTATCCCCAGCGGCGATGTTTACAACACACCACCGCACCAGGAACTCATTCGAGACTGAGTCGACCTAGGGGAGGCCTAGGACTGGTTCAGATAGTCGCCACTGGTGTTGGCGGCCGTGAGCGGAAATCGAATCCGCACGTGCGAAGACAGTCACACACGCACAGCGCGTGCGCTGCACTGTGCGTGTGGCGAGAGTCACGGCATTGTGTTTGTCGAAGCTGGAGCACAACGCGGAGCTTGGTGTGAGCCACAACTCACCGATGATGCACAGGGAGTAGAAGGAGAGCTGCTTGCCCAGCCGGTCCATGCTCTTCTGCAGCGGGGTCTTCGGGGCCTTCAATGCAAGAAAGCAACACCACGTGACTTGTACGTATTTATTTGTCCTCAATTTGATCGCGATTGCGCTATCGGCGTCACGTCACGAATAATCCGTTCGCATCTCCGGCAGAGCGCCGCGACCTTCGTGTTCCAGAATGGCCCAGCAGAAACGGATATTGCAGCGCTACCTCCGAGATCCCTTCAAACGACCTCCGGTCTAAACGGGGAGCGCACGCGTCACGTGCGGTGCAAGCCGACCCTCACCTCCTCAGCTTGCATCATCTTGAAGACTTCTCCAAACTCCGAATTCTCGCCAGTCCCAATGACAATTCCCTGCCGAGACAAAGCGCACGCGGGGCGTCCTGGGTCACGCGGGGCGTCCTGGGTCACGCGGGGCGTCCTGGGTCACGCGGGGCGTCCTGGGTCACGCGGGGCGTCCTGGGTCACGCGGGGCGTCCTGGGTCACGCGGGGCGTCCTGGGGCACGCGGGGCGGGGCGTCCTGGGTCACGCGGGGCGTCCTGGGTCACGCGGGGCGTCCTGGGTCACGCGGGGCGTCCTGGGTCACGCGTGGCGTCTGGGTCACGCGGGGCGTCCTGGGTCACGCGGGGCGTCCTGGGTCACGCGGGGCGTCCCTGGGTCACGCGGGGCGTCCTGGGTCACGCGGGGCGGTCCTGGGTCACGCGGGGCGTCCTGGGTCACGCGGGGCGTCCTGGGTCACGCGGGGCGTCCTGGGTCACGCGGGGCGTCCTGGTCACGCGGGGCGTCCTGGGTCACGCGGGGCGTCCTGGGTCACGCGGGGCGTCCTGGGTCACGCGGGGCGTCCTGGGTCACGCGGGGCGTCCTGGGTCACGCGGGGCGTCCTGGGTCACGCGGGGCGTCCTGGGTCACGCGGGGCGTCCTGGGTCACGCGGGGCGTCCTGGGTCACGCGGGGCGTCCTGGGTCACGCGGGGCGTCCTGGGTCACGCGGGGCGTCCTGGGTCACGCGGGGCGTCCTGGGTCACGCGGGGCGTCCTGGGTCACGCGGGGCGTCCTGGGTCACGCGGGGCGTCCTGGGTCACGCGGGGCGTCCTGGGTCACGCGGGGCGTCCTGGGTCACGCGGGGCGTCCTGGGTCACGCGGGGCGTCCTGGGTCACGCGGGGCGTCCTGGGTCACGCGGGGCGTCCTGGGTCACGCGGGGCGTCCTGGGTCACGCGGGGCGTCCTGGGTCACGCGGGGCGTCCTGGGTCACGCGGGGCGTCCTGGGTCACGCGGGGCGTCCTGGGTCACGCGGGGCGTCCTGGGTCACGCGGGGCGTCCTGGGTCACGCGGGGCGTCCTGGGTCACGCGGGGCGTCCTGGGTCACGCGGGGCGTCCTGGGTCACGCGGGGCGTCCTGGGTCACGCGGGGCGTCCTGGGTCACGCGGGGCGTCCTGGGTCACGCGGGGCGTCCTGGGTCACGCGGGGCGTCCTGGGTCACGCGGGGCGTCCTGGGTCACGCGGGGCGTCCTGGGTCACGCGGGGCGTCCTGGGTCACGCGGGGCGTCCTGGGTCACGCGGGGCGTCCTGGGTCACGCGGGGCGTCCTGGGTCACGCGGGGCGTCCTGGGTCACGCGGGGCGTCCTGGGTCACGCGGGGCGTCCTGGGTCACGCGGGGCGTCCTGGGTCACGCGGGGCGTCCTGGGTCACGCGGGGCGTCCTGGGTCACGCGGGGCGTCCTGGGTCACGCGGGGCGTCCTGGGTCACGCGGGGCGTCCTGGGTCACGCGGGGCGTCCTGGGTCACGCGGGGCGTCCTGGGTCACGCGGGGCGTCCTGGGTCACGCGGGGCGTCCTGGGTCACGCGGGGCGTCCTGGGTCACGCGGGGCGTCCTGGGTCACGCGGGGCGTCCTGGGTCACGCGGGGCGTCCTGGGTCACGCGGGGCGTCCTGGGTCACGCGGGGCGTCCTGGGTCACGCGGGGCGTCCTGGGTCACGCGGGGCGTCCTGGGTCACGCGGGGCGTCCTGGGTCACGCGGGGCGTCCTGGGTCACGCGGGGCGTCCTGGGTCACGCGGGGCGTCCTGGGTCACGCGGGGCGTCCTGGGTCACGCGGGGCGTCCTGGGTCACGCGGGGCGTCCTGGGTCACGCGGGGCGTCCTGGGTCACGCGGGGCGTCCTGGGTCACGCGGGGCGTCCTGGGTCACGCGGGGCGTCCTGGGTCACGCGGGGCGTCCTGGGTCACGCGGGGCGTCCTGGGTCACGCGGGGCGTCCTGGGTCACGCGGGGCGTCCTGGGTCACGCGGGGCGTCCTGGGTCACGCGGGGCGTCCTGGGTCACGCGGGGCGTCCTGGGTCACGCGGGGCGTCCTGGGTCACGCGGGGCGTCCTGGGTCACGCGGGGCGTCCTGGGTCACGCGGGGCGTCCTGGGTCACGCGGGGCGTCCTGGGTCACGCGGGGCGTCCTGGGTCACGCGGGGCGTCCTGGGTCACGCGGGGCGTCCTGGGTCACGCGGGGCGTCCTGGGTCACGCGGGGCGTCCTGGGTCACGCGGGGCGTCCTGGGTCACGCGGGGCGTCCTGGGTCACGCGGGGCGTCCTGGGTCACGCGGGGCGTCCTGGGTCACGCGGGGCGTCCTGGGTCACGCGGGGCGTCCTGGGTCACGCGGGGCGTCCTGGGTCACGCGGGGCGTCCTGGGTCACGCGGGGCGTCCTGGGTCACGCGGGGCGTCCTGGGTCACGCGGGGCGTCCTGGGTCACGCGGGGCGTCCTGGGTCACGCGGGGCGTCCTGGGTCACGCGGGCGTCCTGGGTCACGCGGGGCGTCCTGGGTCACGCGGGGCGTCCTGGGTCACGCGGGGCGTCCTGGGTCACGCGGGGCGTCCTGGGTCACGCGGGGCGTCCTGGGTCACGCGGGGCGTCCTGGGTCACGCGGGGCGTCCTGGGTCACGCGGGGCGTCCTGGGTCACGCGGGGCGTCCTGGGTCACGCGGGCGTCCTGGGTCACGCGGGCGTCCTGGGTCACGCGGGCGTCCTGGGTCACGCGGGCGTCCTGGGTCACGCGGGGCGTCCTGGGTCACGCGGGGCGTCCTGGGTCACGCGGGGCGTCCTGGGTCACGCGGGGCGTCCTGGGTCACGCGGGCGTCCTGGGTCACGCGGGGCGTCCTGGGTCACGCGGGGCGTCCTGGGTCACGCCGGGCGTCCTGGGTCACGCCGGGCGTCCTGGGTCACGCCGGGCGTCCTGGGTCACGCGGGCGTCCTGGGTCACGCGGGCGTCCTGGGTCACGCGGGGCGTCCTGGGTCACGCCGGGGCGTCCTGGGTCACGCGGGGCGTCCTGGGTCACGCGGGGCGTCCTGGGTCACGCGGGGCGTCCTGGGTCACGCCGGGGCGTCCTGGGTCACGCGGGGCGTCCTGGGTCACGCGGGGCGTCCTGGGTCACGCCGGGGCGTCCTGGGTCACGCGGGGCGTCCTGGGTCACGCGGGGCGTCCTGGGTCACGCCGGGGCGTCCTGGGTCACGCGGGGCGTCCTGGGTCACGCCGGGCGTCCTGGGTCACGCCGGGCGTCCTGGGTCACGACGGGCGTCCTGGGTCACGCCGGGCGTCCTGGGTCACGCGGGGCGTCCTGGGTCACGCGGGGCGTCCTGGGTCACGCGGGGCGTCCTGGGTCACGCGGGGCGTCCTGGGTCACGCGGGGCGTCCTGGGTCACGCGGGGCGTCCTGGGTCACGCGGGGCGTCCTGGGTCACGCGGGGCGTCCTGGGTCACGCCGGGGCGTCCTGGGTCACGCGGGGCGTCCTGGGTCACGCGGGGCGTCCTGGGTCACGCGGGGCGTCCTGGGTCACGCGGGGCGTCCTGGGTCACGCGGGGCGTCCTGGGTCACGCGGGGCGTCCTGGGTCACGCGGGGCGTCCTGGGTCACGCGGGGCGTCCTGGGTCACGCGGGCGTCCTGGGTCACGCGGGGCGTCCTGGGTCACGCGGGGCGTCCTGGGTCACGCGGGGCGTCCTGGGTCACGCGGGGCGTCCTGGGTCACGCGGGGCGTCCTGGGTCACGCGGGGCGTCCTGGGTCACGCGGGGCGTCCTGGGTCACGCGGGGCGTCCTGGGTCACGCGGGGCGTCCTGGGTCACGCGGGGCGTCCTGGGTCACGCGGGGCGTCCTGGGTCACGCGGGGCGTCCTGGGTCACGCGGGGCGTCCTGGGTCACGCGGGGCGTCCTGGGTCACGCGGGGCGTCCTGGGTCACGCGGGGCGTCCTGGGTCACGCGGGGCGTCCTGGGTCACGCGGGGCGTCCTGGGTCACGCGGGGCGTCCTGGGTCACGCGGGGCGTCCTGGGTCACGCGGGGCGTCCTGGGTCACGCGGGGCGTCCTGGGTCACGCGGGGCGTCCTGGGTCACGCGGGGCGTCCTGGGTCACGCGGGGCGTCCTGGGTCACGCGGGGCGTCCTGGGTCACGCGGGGCGTCCTGGGTCACGCGGGGCGTCCTGGGTCACGCGGGGCGTCCTGGGTCACGCGGGGCGTCCTGGGTCACGCGGGGCGTCCTGGGTCACGCGGGGCGTCCTGGGTCACGCGGGGCGTCCTGGGTCACGCGGGGCGTCCTGGGTCACGCGGGGCGTCCTGGGTCACGCGGGGCGTCCTGGGTCACGCGGGGCGTCCTGGGTCACGCGGGGCGTCCTGGGTCACGCGGGGCGTCCTGGGTCACGCGGGGCGTCCTGGGTCACGCGGGGCGTCCTGGGTCACGCGGGGCGTCCTGGGTCACGCGGGGCGTCCTGGGTCACGCGGGGCGTCCTGGGTCACGCGGGGCGTCCTGGGTCACGCGGGGCGTCCTGGGTCACGCGGGGCGTCCTGGGTCACGCGGGGCGTCCTGGGTCACGCGGGGCGTCCTGGGTCACGCGGGGCGTCCTGGGTCACGCGGGGCGTCCTGGGTCACGCGGGGCGTCCTGGGTCACGCGGGGCGTCCTGGGTCACGCGGGGCGTCCTGGGTCACGCGGGGCGTCCTGGGTCACGCGGGGCGTCCTGGGTCACGCGGGGCGTCCTGGGTCACGCGGGGCGTCCTGGGTCACGCGGGGCGTCCTGGGTCACGCGGGGCGTCCTGGGTCACGCGGGGCGTCCTGGGTCACGCGGGGCGTCCTGGGTCACGCGGGGCGTCCTGGGTCACGCGGGGCGTCCTGGGTCACGCGGGGCGTCCTGGGTCACGCGGGGCGTCCTGGGTCACGCGGGGCGTCCTGGGTCACGCGGGGGCGTCCTGGGTCACGCGGGGCGTCCTGGGTCACGCGGGGCGTCCTGGGTCACGCGGGGCGTCCTGGGTCACGCGGGGCGTCCTGGGTCACGCGGGGCGTCCTGGGTCACGCGGGGCGTCCTGGGTCACGCGGGGCGTCCTGGGTCACG